GTCGTGTAGAGGAGCACTGACTGTGTCCACTGGCTGCTGGCTGCCCTCAACAACACCAAGCTTACGACTTGTGAGGTCTCCCCGCTGCGGGCACAGCTTCTCCAAGCACAAGGCTCTGCTTTCCAAAGCCACACCATGCCCTCGGAGCGGGAGGGCTGCTACAGCACAGCTCGCAGGCAGGTTATCTCGCGCTGCACAAACCTGACTGCCCACAGGCAACAGAGCTGTTGCAACAGCTGCGGTAAAAAATGGGGCACATCAGGGCAAAACAGTTAAGTACCGCAAACCAGGCCTCCTGAGGGAGCGCCGGAGGATCTCCGTGTAATTGAGAGGTCTCCGCTCAGCTCGGGCCTGAGGTTTTCCCAGGTTAAGCTACTACAGCGAGGATTAGCAATGAAATCATATCGATCCCTACAAGAAGCAGAGGAACCACATCCTAAGGCGAAGATGAATGTGATCCGAGCGTGACCACGGTAAGTTACTGCCTGTAACGCAGGTTAAAACAAGAACTTGGTTAATTACAAGTGGGTCTCAAGCCATGGGAAATCTCTTGTCTCTAGTGGTATCCAGTGCTGCCAGGCAGCTGGCCTGAATTCAGCACACAGCTTGGGTTCTCAGCCCTCGTATGACCAAAAGAGAGGAAAAACTTCACAGCATTCACATTTTGGGAAGGGAAATATCCTGTGAGAGATGACCTTGCAACTCCTGCCCAAGGAGTCTTCCCTCTACCTTATTCAGAAGCGAACTTGGAGCACTCCAGCTCTTTGTTCACGTGGATTTAGGGTAGAGAAAGAAGGCTCTCAGCAGACTGCCCACTCAGCACTGCTTAGCACATCTTTGCCCCACAGCTACACCCTCTGCAGCTCGGGATCTGAGCTGCGAATGATGCAGAAAGGGAGTAGCTTGTCCTTTGTGCCAACATCTTGCAGTCGCTGCCTGCAGGCGGCTTTGTGCTCTCACTGCAGACTGGGGGAACCGAAAGCCCCTGCTCTTAGGAGCAGGCTGGCAGGGCTGGGCACGGTGCCTGGAGTGACAGGAACACCTCAGCACAGAGCTGATCACTGTCACTGTGCCCTGCTAGGCCTGAAGATGCAGCTGCAATTCAGCAGCGACCACGGCTGGTGCTGTGTCTGCTCCATCACACTCCGAACCGCTGCTTTACCTCCAGATCTCTCTGCAGGGTGGGCTCCCTGAGCAAGGTCCCCAGGATGAGGGCAGACTTGATCACAGGACTGGCAGGCGAGTTGTCCTTGAGGCAAGCTACAAAGTCAGCAGCTCAATCTGTCACAGCAGCTCTGCCTGGCCGTGACACCAGGATCCAACGTGTATCGCTGCTGGGCTAGGTCTGCACTGAGCTGTCTCTCCTCAGCATCCGAGGGCCCTTAACTCCCTTCTCCCTGGGGGAAAAGCCTTCCACGAGGGGCTCAGCCATGTGCTGACAGCTCTGTGAATCACTCGCTCGATGCCAAAGCCACTGCCACCTTTCAGTCAGCGGGTGCCTTCAGGCAGAGGGGGGCTGCCCCATCACAAACAAATGCCAGGGAAGCCCAGGAGGGGCCGTGCGGTGTCTGACTGGAGCAGCTCTAGCCCCGTACCTACAGCGCAGTGTCTGGCTGCTTCTGTGAGCACTGACAGAGAAGCAAGAGTGTAAACTCCCACTAGCATCTGCTGAAGCTTCATCTCCCCAAGGAAAAATATTTTTTTTCTTACACGTATCTTGAAGCATCTCAGCAGCAGGGGAGGCAAGGGCGTAGACGCTCTCACTAGCTAAAAACACTTGCAAAACACAAATCCGTGACCAATTAATAAGAAAACGCTGCTGCACTTTGACTTCCTGCCTAGGACGGGAGATGGAGAAGGATTTCAGAAGCATTTTTAGTTCATTCTTGGCAAGGAGCCTTTAGGACAGGTGCTGTTTAATTCCCCACCAGCTTATTTCTAGGAGATGAGGGGACTGTCTCAAACCCAGCTTGTAAAAGGTCTACAGAGGACCCTGAATTATTCCAGGCCCCAAGCTGTTCCATAGCTAAACAAATAACAAAAGATGGTGGATCTTTTTTCCTTTCTCCCCTTGTGCTTCACCTTGAAGCAGCTGTTAGCAAAGCCAGAGAACTCCTCTGCCCCTCAGTGTATTTCATGCAGCCTTGGCAAAGGAACAGCAGCCTGTCATCTCATGAATATGGGAATTGCCTAATTCTCCAGCTATTCTCATTACCTCAGCCGGAGGGTCCCAGCTTTCCATAACTAATTCCTGAAACCACAGAGTTCCCACTGTCCTTGCTGTCCTTGAGCAGCACACGGCAGCTCCTCGCACAGCGATGCTGGTGCCTGCTGTGGTAACGGGGAGCGGGGAGGGCTCTGAGGACAAGGAGCCTGCTCCCAGCTCTCCTTGCAGTTCCCCGAGCTGCTCATCCTTTGTCCACATAACTCACAGCAGGGGGTTTTGAAACCAAGCAGTGCTGCAGGGCACACTGCAGTGGCTCAGGACTGGCCTAGCAGCCCTGAAGGCTGGGCAGCGGGCTGGCAGCAGGAAAACACAATCCTGTAGCAGCAGAGAACCCTTTGCTCTGCTCCCAAAAGCCTCTGAGCTCCCTGCAGCCCCCATTCGGCACCCCCACGAAGCAGGGGCTTGCAGCACTTCCCACCTGTCGCTTCATTCCTCCCCATCACGTATGTTCTCAGTCCATCTTCCTTCCACACATCCATCTTCTCCTCCCTCGCCATTTCTCCCAAGCCCGCTGGTGCTGCCAGCCCTGTCCGTCTTCCCAGGACTCAAAGCTGAAGCTGCTCCTCTGCTGCAAGGTGCTAATGGCTGCCAGCAACCAGCTGCGAGGGCTGCTGCGAGCTGCAAAGCAGATGGAAGCCGAGGCTGAGCTAATTACGAAGCAGGGACTGCGAAACTCGTGCAGACTCTGGCCAGAGGAGCCTCGCTTGTTCCCAGGGTCAAGCGGGCGCATCCTTGGCTCGTCAGCAGGTGACAGCTGAGATGGACAGGCACCAAGCTGCTCCTTTTGTGATAGAGGATTTTTTTCCCTGGAGTTTGCCAGAAGAGTATCTGCACTGATGCTAAATAAAAAGTGGATTACGTCTTCTAGAGGCTCGATCTTCGTGCTCCGCAATTGGCTACATGGAAGCAGCAGCAGGAATCACCTTGGACGTCCATGGTTTTGTAACCAGAACCTCCTTTCCAATTAGTCATATTACAGGGCTGTAAATACGATAGTTCCATCAATAGTATGGAGCAGTCATGCTGCATTTGTATTAACATAAATGAGTGCTAATGTGCCACAGAGCTAATCTGATATGACAGGAATTGGCTGGTGCCCAGCAGTGGAGGCCCCGGAGCTATGCTTGCTCCCTCTTCGCTACGGGAACTGTCCCTCCGAAACGCTGGAAAGGAACCAAACTGTGAAACCACAGCTCGCCCGCCAGCAGCAAGTGATGCCTCTTGCAACTGCACTGCCCTGAGGTGCCCGGCCTCTTGTTTCTTTGGGGATGTTTGTCAGAGAGGAACTTTAACTCCTACCAAGTCACAGAGTAAGAAATACGGGTTGCCAGCATACCTCATAAGGTTGGATCAGCCTGCCCAGAAATCTGCAATCACCAGCTGGGTGTTAAAACCCAGACAAGGCATAAGAGCACTCAGCCTGCTCCTTTCCCTCTCCCCTGTGGCTACTGGGAGCTATCCAATGTCACCCAGTCGGCAGCGGGCTTCTCTTACAGCGGTGCAGCTTTAGGCTTTGTGAACGCTTTGGGGCAAACCTTGTCCTGTGCTGTGCCCTACAGACAGGGCAGCGAGACTTAAACCTGAGACTGCAGCCGGGGCTCTTCGGTTAAAAACCTTAAATGGGATGGACAGAAGCACCGGATGGGAACCAGACCTCGCACACGGTCCACCTCCTGTTCAGGCTTCCCCTTCGTGTGCCAGGCTGTCACACAAGTCACAGCAGGTGTCCGGGCTTTCTGCATTTACCTCGTCAGCCCCGTGCATGCCTTGCTGTCTGGCTGCCCACTGACAGCCTCACCCATCACAGAGCTCCGGGGTTCTGCCCCAGCACAAACCAAGCAGCCCCCACGGACCCGTTTTAAGCAGGCAGCACCCTTCTCACGCTTACAGACACCAACATTTCGGCATACGCAACAGCAATATCTCAAAGCCCCAGAGCACACGTGGCCTGCAGTGCCCAGAACAGCTCGTGGAACAGCTGATAAAAATGAGGGAGGATTTCATTAGAGGACATGTGGATGAATACCTCCACCAGAAGCCTCAGGATGTGCGACACCCAGTTCAGCTTGTGGCCGTGACTCCAATCTCTCCGCTCCCCGCTCCCCCACCTGCACAAGGGCTCGGTAAGGCGTCCCCAGCTTGCAGCAGGGGGGCTCTGAGCCTTAACTGAGGGCTGTGAAGCATTTCACGAAGAAGCCCTCACCTCCCCGAGGCCTCCCCTTCCCTTCCCCTACCACCAGCAGACCCGTGCCCACACTCACTCACCGCCTCCCAGCCACAAAGGCGAGGGCTGGGGGCAGGCAGGGCACGGAGTCCCCCGAGCCCCCCGCTACGGAGCTGCTGCCCCGGTACAAGGGCTGTTTGCCATCCCCATCCCCATCCCCGTACCCATCCCCGTACCCACCTGCGGCTCCCGGCCCCGCTGCTCCTCCCGTGCCCGCCCGGCAGCGCCGAGCCCCGCAGCCGCCGCCCGCCCCCCGTGCGCCCGCGGGGCCGGGCCCGGCTCTGCCGCCGCCATGGCAACGGCGGGAGGGGCGGGGCCGCCGCCAGAAGGGGGAATTTGGGGAGAAAAGCCCCTTTTTGGGGTCCCCCCCCGAGCCTAGGCACGGCTGCGAGGTGCTGGGTGTGACCGAGCGCCGGCCTTTTGTCTGCGAGGCAGCTCGGGGGGGTCCCGGCCCCAGTCCCTCGTCCTGCGGCGGGGGCTGGGGCTGTGTCACCCCAAAAACAACGTCCCCCTTTCCCACGCCGGCTCCCCCCGGCCCCCCTGACTCACCGGGACTTTCAGGGGTGCCACTCGAGCCCCCCGCAGCCCGCAGGGACGTGGCGAGCTTCGTGGTGTCCTCAGCTGCTGCCAGGACCCGGCGCTGCAGCGCTGCCCGCTTGGAGCTGGCTGTGTTCAGCTCTGGCTGTGTCCATCCCATTTACAAGGTTTTATTTTTTTTTCCCTTCTGAGGCCTGCCAGACTCTCATGTCACCTTCACGGAGGGGGCTTTCAGGAGCATCACGCTTGCAGAGCGTCCTCCACCGAGGGCTCTTAAATCACAACCACACAAAGCCTGCAGCGAGCCTCATCTCCCAGAGGAAGAGACAGAGCCAGAGGTCGCTCAGGGTCCCAGAGGTGTTCCCGGCACCTCTTCGGTGAAGAGTTTTTTCCTGTGCACAAGGACACCTGGAGGATGTCTCAGCGTTGCTGTGCTATAAGGAAGGACGGTGAGGAGAAGTTGGAGACCTATTGCCATCGATGACCTTTCCAGCTCCTGCTGCTACGGGCTGCCTCCTCCTCTGTGCGTGCTCATTTGTGGATAGCCCTCACCCTGCTGCTTGGAGAACGCGTCCGGTCCTCCTCGCGCCTGATGTTCGTGATGTTTCGCAGTGCAGAGCAGGTCTCTGTGCCAGGTTCAGCTCCTGTGGAAATGGGCAGTGAAGACTGGGAGGCGAGAGGTGGAATAGCATCGGGGTGATCGATCGCCCGTCCCCGGCTCCCTGCTCCAGTTACAGCCGCTCTGCGAGGCCAGGAGACGCCCCTGGACTTTGCAGCGTAACGCTGGAGCTCATGCCTGGGTCTCTGCTGGAGATGAGCATCCTGTTGTTTGCGAGTCCAATTACAGCTAAAGCTGGGGAAAAAAAAAAAAAAAAAAAAAAAAAAAAAAAAAAACAGAAACAACTGTCTAGGTAAATAGGAATTTTCCTCAGTTGCAGGGGCCAGCAGAGGACACTGCTTTGCCTCCTGTTCCTTTCAGAGGCTGTGTGGTTTCTGTTCCTTTTGCTGCCATCTTGCTGCCCCATGACCTTCTGGTGGCACCTCTGGCAGGAGAACAGCTGCTGCCCCTTCAATTTTATCCATATCCATCAGAGAAATTCGTTCTCCAGATCGCTTGTTGCTGCTGTAGCAATACTGCTCCTGTACAGCTTTACTTAGGAGAGGGAAGAAACAAAACCACATGACAAACGGGTCCGATTTATCCCAGCAACAGAAACCTGCAATTCAGCTCAATCGCCCCCACAGGCCAGCTTAGACTGCATCAATATTTAATGCCCTGAGTGCTGCTGCTTTCGCAGCTCCAGCTTCCCCTCTGCCCCTGCGCTCCTCACCATGTCTGTCACCCCAGCGGCCAGGCAGGGCACCCCTGGGCTCAGTCTCCAGGCTGCCTGGGCAATGTGCTTTGTACCCCAAGGGACACAGCCCTGGCTGGCTGCACACAGCCAAATGCAGCCCCGTTCCCTGCTTGGCTGGACCACCTGTATGATGTATGACCGAGCAACTTCAGCTCAGCTTTCTGGGCACGCCTGTGGGCTGTGGCGAGGCAAGTGGCAGCAGGGCTGGTCTCAGCTCGGGCTGGTTTGGGGTGACCGTGTTAACCCAGAGAGGTGATTGTGTAAGCCAGAGTTCACCCAGCAGCAGGCTGGAGGTGAATTCTGTTCACTTGTGTCCGTTCCTGTTACTCAGGCAGGAGAATTTTATCCCAGAGGGAACCACGGTGAAATAAAGCACCAGCAGGACCGGGAAAGAGGATCACCCAAGCCCAGTCACATCCCTTCAGCCCGTCAGCAAACCACGGGGAACTGGATGGTCTCTGACTAGGTGGTGGCAGGCCAAAGGAGATCCACCTGTCCCCTCTGCACAGCTCAGTCACATCAGGCAGGAAGGGGAGAGGAGCTGCACCCCAGCACGCAGCAGCAGCTTGCTTCTGGCTCGCTCTGCCTGTGACAGCAGCGGGAGCACAGGCAGGCGGTGCTGGGGCACAGGGCAAGGAGGGCGAAGGCTCAGCAGCAGTGGGAGGCAGCACCCGGGCAGAAAGAGCGCTGTGGAGGGGGCTGTGGGTTGTACGTGGCCACAGGCACGTTCCCTCAGTGCCCTGCCGCCTTGGTTCCCCAGCTCTGTAAAATGGAGATAATTGAGATCTCCTGGTGATAAGCACAAAGTAAGGAGAGGCAGTTTTATTTATTGGGGCAGCGGCGGGGCGGAGGAATTTGCACTGCTGGGCTGGTAATAAATGACCCCACAACTTGAATTCCTCCAGCAAGGCCGCACCTTCCACCAAGCTCTCTGTTCACTTTAAAAAAGCCATTATCCAGCAAATTGCATATTGCAAAGGGGAGTTCATTATCCACTCCAATGGCAGTGAGTGGCAGAGGCCATTAACATTACAATAAGTGGCTTTTTGGTGAGGTGCTCTATAATTCACTCGGTATTTAACACTGGCCAGGGGGCCTCATCCCTTTACATAAAATACATTAAGCAAAGCACCTTTGTGAACGTCACCCCGTGCTGAAGAGCTGTTCTAATGAGGGTGAGTAGGAATAAACATAACAGCAGACGCTGCTGTCCCAAAATAGCTTGGGTCAGTGGCTGCACAGCAGAGGGGACAATGACAGCACAGAGGCCTGGTGGACTTGCAGGGAACAGCTGGCCTGCTGCAGCTCACCCGGAGAAGCTGGGCGTTTTCCAGCACTAGAGCTTGGCAGCTGCTGGGGGAAGCCTTTATCCCCTGGTACTCCCCCAGCCCCTCCACCCCGGTACTCGTAGGGCAGCTGGTTTATGATAGGCATGGTCTGAGACTAACAGCAGGGCTGTGCAGAACACGTAATTCAACAGCCACATGCAAGTGCGCTGGTAAATAATGGATTTTTCCACCAGTTAACTCTCCAAGAAAGGAGCTCAGAGCCAAGTCAGTGCCTTCCAACTCGCAGCCTGTTAGAAAATTTAACCCAGAGCACAGCTCTCCCTCTTGGCAGCTGCCCAGTAATTAATTCTAATGTATCGGCTGCATCTGAATGGCCTTGGGCTTCTGCCCAATATTTCTATTTATTTGTTTTCCATTCACCACTAAAATTAAAACTCAAAATCTTCTAGAGAAGATGGAAATCAAACATGCTGAAGCAGTACTGCTGCCCACATACAACCGGCAGACATCACTGTGCTTTTCTTCCTCTGCAGTTTGTTACATCTAACTCTTAAGACTCCCTGTGTCTCTCACCTAATAAATACCTCTATTAATAGCGCAGGCACTACCGCAGCCATGTGTTCTCCTTCCTTTCTACGCAGATCGATAAGCAGCAGCCTCTGGCTGGAGGTTTTTTACTGTGGACCAGGTCATAGTGACTGTGCTGGAGTCCCTTCTGGATTTAACACTGTCTTCATGGTTTGAGATGAAGCTGATGGTGCCAATGGCCGTGCTGAGGCTAGGAGCCTGTGCAACTGTCTGGGCTGCAGCCACGTTACAAGGCAGCATACTGGCTGTGGAAGTCATACGCATTTTCCTTAAAAAACATGCAGTTATCTAAGAAAATCTGTTTGTGTTTTTTTTTTTTTTTCATCCCCCTGCTTTTTCACTTGTTCCAAGCAAGAGGTGGAGGTTCCTCAGACAAAGCTTTGCTTATGCTGACTGGAGTTAGCTGTTCCACCCTGCCGGAAGCACCCAGCCTGCCTAAGTGCTTGCTTGGCTTCTTACTGACGTCTTGGTTTGTTCCAAACCCATCTTTATCTTGAAGCACATCACCTGATAAAATGTTTTGCTATAAAAGCCCAGGCTTTCACAATGGACTGATTCAAAATAATAAGTGGAAAGTCAAAAGCTATACGCTTACTTTCAAAGCAATGTAAGTTATAAAATATCCTGATTTACAACTACAGTATTTAAATCCTCTTTGTAATAGCACAATCAATAGGATTTTATTGCAAATTCACTGGAAAAGATTCTCAGTAACGTTAGAAAAATGCACTAAAATATGGCCTTGGTCTCTTTCAGTGTCTTCAAATTCAAGTATTTTCCTTCCTTAAAAACACAAGCAAGTGAACACACAGTGCAAGGTACACGTCTGGATGAGTAACAGATACTTCTGCCTGTAAATGGATTAGCTCCCACCAATAGCTAATAGGATTTCCTTCCACCAATAAACAGACTTCCAAGTTCTGCATTCAGGGCATCATCAGGAATGACATCATCCTCCACAAACTCATCTCCGAGCTTCTTCCACCACGGCCAGCGAGCATACTTCAGCATAGCGTTGTGGGATTGTTTGGCCTTGGTAGCTACAGGGACCGACCGACTCATAAAGACAGCAAGATCTTTCTCTGTGGTCTCTGCTAACCGTGGAGCATCTGTAGGAACAAGGAGAAAAGTTTTCTGTTTTGTTTCTTATGCTGCAGATTTACAAGTATTTTAAACAAAAAAGAAGGATTGCTACTCTCCTGCTACTATCCTAAAGCACTCCTTTCCCCTTGCTGGGGCTACAATTTTATGGCTCTGTGATAAACCAAGATTGGAGAAGCAATCCAAACTAAGACTAACCTTAAAAAAATAAATACAGAACAAGGGGAGGGAAAGTAAGGGTGGCAAGCAGGACTACTTCATTCAGGGCAGTAGTGCTGTGCATGAAGTCGACTTCTTGTGAAACTGTGACCTAGGAGAAAGAGGAGCTCCTGGCTGCTACTGCTGGATCAGCGCTCCTGGTGCAGGGTGACATCAGTGTAGCGTTTCCACAGCTCTGGCGCAGCAGCAGCACTGCGTATTCCCTGCCTGGGGGCCCCGGCAAAACGTGGGAGTGTGCTGCTGATTTGCCCATTCAGGGAGCAATGAGCTGCAGTGACACACCATGTGACAGGCTAAGTCATGGAATTCAGTAACTTGCTGAATTTTGTCCTGCTTGGGTGCTCTCTGGTGGCTGCAGTTTGCTATTCTCCCTCTTTCACTCCAAACTATTTGTCTGGAATTTAGCTAGTACCACACTGAATTCTATTTCAAATAAAGCCAAGCGAGTCAAAATGAAAACCTGACTCAAAATTCATAGCTCAAAGATTTCCCTCTTCATCTGGGGAAAACGGAAACAGAATAAAACAAAAATGTAGAGGAAGAGGTTGTGTAAGATCCCTTTAGAAACTGTAATGCCTTTTACAAGGCCATTGCTTTTCTTGTGAACGTATAAGAAACAAAACATCTGCACTAAATTAAGATGCTCCCTGCAAAGCAGGTATATAATACTTAACCTACAGGAATACCTGTATGATTTCTAGCAAAGCCTGAAAAATCTCAAGATAAATCATATGGCAAAGGAAGAAAGATTATTTCAGTTCTGAAATAAGACTCTACCGCTGTTCCCTTCAGTTTTCTCTTTAAATTAGCTTAATCTAAATGGTAATTGCAACTATGACCAGAGCAGTCACGTACTCATTAGCAGCTCCACATCAGTGTTGACCTGAGCCAGTAACGTCTCTCTCCGCTGCGCTGCTCTCTGATCCAATTTGCTCCTCAACATGAACTGTGCCAGCTTTTCCTGGGCTTGCATATGTAATTCTTTACTCATTTCTTCTGACATTTGGGAAGCCTGGAAGAAAATAACAGTTTGTTACCATCAAGAGCTGGTTATTTTAAATCTTTTGGGGACAGATTAGTGTCCAAAGGAATGCAAATGCTGTTAATTATTAACTTAATCATTTTGCTTCCTCTGAAGTTCTCTCCAAAGCTATCCATCATCACGTATATGCGACTTTCCAGTTACAGTTTTTTTTAACCCTTTTTATTTGATTAGCAGTTCAAGTCCCCAATATCCTAGTACCTTGCTCTCAAACAAGCAGGGTTAATATATGCATGCCTCACAAGGATTATCTTGATCAGAATTTATGAAGTTGAATATACTTCATCCCAACAGTATTTTGCATTGCATCATTAATGGAAATTATGAAATGACTAAGAAACAGACCGGATGCAATTTGATGTAGTCATCCACCTTCTGCTGTAAAGCCAGTCTCTGCTCATCAGTCAGTCCTTTGGGATCTTTCCAAGGAGACAGAGGTCTTTTACTTCTTTGTTTTTCCAAGAATTTGCAAGCCTTTGTAAAGAACATATAAAAATACAGGAATCACAGACAAGAAGTTTGTCTCACTTTATAATCAGTCAGTGGAAAAAAATGTCTTAGCACTGTACCTGTTAAAGCGTAACTTTAGCTATGATACCGAGAAGGCAACATACAATGGTCAGGATGGATACTAAATAATGTTAAAATGCTCATAATACATTACTGACTTACCTGTGGCATGCTGAAATCCCAACCTTTGGTTTCAAAGTGGCAGCTCTTGCATTTTAGTTACAAGGTTGTAGCAGACTTTTTATCTTAGGCAGGATTCAACCCCTCTAAGTAATTTGTGGCTATAGAATATCACCCTCTGACTTATTTTTGAATACATTACAGCTAAATCAACATTAAGAAAAGTAAATAAATGGATATTTTTGAGGCATCACTATAAGTGCTATCCTATCTAATGTTAGAACCAAGTTTATATACTTACTGCTCTCTGAATGATGACGGCTGCTTTATACTCCTTAAGAGACTGTCTATGCTGATGAAAACTTCTTCTTGCTCTATACCCTCTCCAGAATCTCTGAATAGTTAATGCTGATTTTACCTCCATTTCCTGCAGGTGCTTATTTACCTGACCTACAAATGTGAGAAAGACCCCGTTATAAGGTCATGGGTTGTGACCTTTCAGTAATCTACATTTTTAATCCTTAAACTTGATTTCAAAACACCAGCTTTTTTATCAGTTAAAAATCCCTCCTCATCAAAGGCCCAGTAGCTGTAGACTACTCAGAGAGGACTTGTAGCTGCAATGGAGCCTTTTATATACAGGGTCTCCTTTTCTCCTGTACCATTTTGAAGGCAGCAGATGTCAATCAGTAGTTACTGAGCCCCTGAGGAATTAACACCTTCTCTGTCAGATAATCAGGTCAGGAGAAGAAGACTACAGTGCAAACAGACATGCAAGATTAGGAAATACATTTGGGGAAAATGTTCTTAAGGAGACCCAGACAGTTTAATCTTTTGATATACTTTAATAGAAATCATACTCGCATGGATTATTTCCAGTAAGGCCAGCTGTCTTTCATGGAAGAGTCTCATGGCCCTCTGTCTCTGTAGTTGCATTTGCAGCTTTAGGGCCTCATCTTCCTTCTGTTTTTCTAAATGCTGCCGCTCCTGTTCTCGTTTAGCTCTGCAATACACAAAAACATTAATGATTACCTTAAGTTGTACATTTCTTAAAAATCCCTCTTTCTCTTTACGTTGAATGGTCTCGCAGCTGCCATGCCAGCTGCTGGTTGCATGATCAACCCAAGCAATGAGTTGTTACCTTACCTGCAAGCTAAAAAATTATCGCACTACCTATAAGCAGGAAAATTCTGAGCCAGACACCCAATTTGTTGTCAAATCAAAAGATGTATTTTTACTTAGGATACAGTTCTAAAGACGCTGAAAGAGCAATGCTTCAGGTGGGACATCCACAGCTAACATGAACTAGAAAACAACTGCTTTGTTTCCATCATCTGGGGAAGAAGTAAAGCAACATTAAGCATCTGCTCCAGCATGCATCTTTTCCAGTGCACCCATCAGCATGCATGGCACCTGCTTTCCATAATACTTATTTTTCCATGAACTACAGTTTCTCCTTAGTCTCTGTAACTGGGTGGTGGAAAACAGGATGGAGGCGGTTTTGTAAAAGAAATGCTCTGGATCTAAAGGTCTGGCCCAAACTGATAAACAGCCTCCACCATGATCTAAAGAGACCATAATCCTTTTATGACAGTAATGCAGACTTGAAGGGTGCCCACACATTGACCTACAGAGACAGATCGCGATACACGTGACTACATCAGAATGGTCTCAAGGTCTTCAGCCCACGCATTTCTGTAAACTACAATTGCAAACCTCTGCATTTTTAATCCTCGAAGGCAATACTATGCTTCTAAGCTGAACAATGCCACAGGACCAAACAGGACTTTTGATGCCATTTTCTTGATAAAACTGTTAATACGTTTCCTTACAAATTTCTCAGCTCCTCTAGGCAGGAATCAACAAGCATGTTTTATGAACTTCTCAGATGTGCACCTGTGACGCTACCAACAATGCTTGTCAGGTATTTAAATTTTTATTTCCCATGTAGTCTGTAAAATACACATTCTTCTTCATTCCCTGCTTCTCTCAATAATAAATAAATAACAATAATAAATAATTTGTTTCCACAAGACCACACTGACAGGGAAATGCCTCTGAACAGAAGTAAAACACAGAGACTAAGACTCAAGCTTCCTTCTGCAGTTCATAGCACAGATTAACCTCCCTCTGATCATCTACGTGTATAAGTGCATATATATATAAATATATATATACACATACGTGCAATGGTTTGATTTATGAGGCATGATTAATACCAATTATTGCCATTTTAACAGCTCTACAATTAGTTACATAAAAGCAAACTAACTTCAAGGAGACTGCAAGCTTTAATATTCACTGAGGAGACATTTCTGAAACCACAGCATTTCGGAGGTATCTAACTTGTAGAGTTTAAAATCTTCTACTGCAGCTGCAGGTGAGCCAAGTTTGGAGCTTCAGCCTCAGCAGTATTTAAACGTACTTATACGTGGATTTGTTTTAGGATATAACCAAACACTGACTGTTAAAAATTCCAAAGGCCTCTTGGAAGGTTTTCTAAAGTCATGCTCACACCACTCCAAACACCATTTTTATTTTTCATCTTAATGCTACCTGCAGCTTTGACCTAGAAAGAAAAAAAAAAAAACAACACTGGAGCTGTACAGTTACTATATTGTACTCAGTACAATGGGACTGACTGGGCCACGAACACATGACTGTAAAAATATTAATATATTTCCATTCTTCTCAATCTTAAACACATTTGAGAGCCCATTTAAATGATTCAAGAACTACTTATTTAAGAGGCATGCACTAATGCTTGCCATAGTGAGAACATGACATAAGAATGTTAAGCAGCTGGTTGACTGCTGGTAGCCTTACCACCCTCTCCCTTCTGCGTTGCATGTCACGCCTTATCCCGTCATGCAATTTTTCTGGGCTGTGATTTTGGCTTGCAGGCTTGCAAAGTGCCTGATGGGGGCAGAAATATTGGTTCAAAGTATATGTATGGTGCAGCAGAAAGCAGTCACAAGGATGGCATTCTTAGTATACAGCACAGAAGCTGAAGTGGCTAGTGGTCCTTGGTGGATATACTGCATCCCCTGCAAATCCTCCTGAACTTAAAGATTACACCCCAGAGCGTCCAGTACCTTCTTAATACCAGTCTAGACAAACCACAACCGTCTGCTTTCTAACACCTTGGTGATAACACAAAGTGATTTCACTATCTGATTTGTAAGATCTAGTCTTGACAAGGTAGTGCTTACCATGTACAATAAAAAAGATTGAATTAAACCTGCTGTGGGGTCTGTCTTGATTTAGATCCCTTACTCTATGTTAAAATTCACACTAGACTTCCGAAAAGAGTTTGCCTAATCATGCTGAAATCATACTTCAAGTAACGTGCATTTTTTATGTAGCTTCATTCTTCTGTGCTACTCCAAAGTCAGAAGATACTATTTCTAGGTCACTGAATCGACCCCACTTCTGAGAGTCAAAGATCTCAAATATTAATTGAGAACAAGGCCTTACAAGTGGCATACTGAGCAAGCACTTTAGTCCATGGTTTCTCCAGCACTCTGGCATGACATTAAACTCCAGGACAGTGCCACATTTAATTTATGATGGAATTTTGTAAGTTAACCGTGACCAGTTAACTGTTCTGCCACCAGTGCATCATCTTCTAGGGCTATTTATTGCAACCCAGTGCTGCACTGTTCCACACGCCATAATTTTTTACAAAGAAAACACACAAAAACATCACAGAAGTATGAGGTTTTCTCATGGAGAAAATGTTTGGCAGCTGGGAAAGGGACAGTTGGAGCTTTTGGCACCAGAAGTGGCAGCTTGGTACTGCTGGAAAAGCACATTGTTTGGATGTTTTTGCTAAATCATCTGCAGTGAAATAGTTCATATTGACATTACATTATTTTCATGTTTCAGAAAATACAGCTGACTGGCAAAAGGCATCTTCAAGATGGAGGACTTCTTGGCCAACCCAAACATTCTCTGGGATACAGGAACAGATCTGCAGGGAAGCTCTCCCCAGGAACAAGAAGGACAGGAAGGAAACAGGAACAGCCAGCACAGGTTTATCACAGGCAAATCATGTTTGACCAACCCAATGGCCTCCTGTGATGAGTTGAGTGGCTCTGTGGATGAGGGGAGAGCACTGGGTGTCATTTACCTTGACTTTATAGCAAGGCTGTCATCAGTCCTCCACACACTGCAGGGCAGGGCTGACGCTCAAAGGAAACACCACGAACATAGAAAATGGGTCAACAGAAGCCACATGAAGCTCATGTGGAAAGTCCTACACTTGGGACATAACAGCCTCATGAATCACACAGGATGGGCACTGACTACCTGGACAGCAGCTCCCATGAAAAGAACCTGGGGTCCTGGTAGATGGCAAGTTGAAGACGAGCCAGTAGTGTGCCCTTGCAGTAACAAAAGCTAGCTGCATTGAGAGCTGCACTAGCAAAAGCAGAGGCAGCAAGTCAAAGAAAATTATTTCACTTTACTCAGTACTCTGGAGGGCACAACCGGAATACTGCCTATACTTTACTGGGCCACCCAGCAGAAGACAGATAATGACAAACTGGAGGGACAGGGACTGTCCAGATGGGACAGTTAGGGGTATGTAGCATTTGGTATACAAGGACAGGTGGAGATGCTTTTTTTTTTTTTTAAGCACAAATGAAGGGAAATCTATTTTTTGTCTTTCACTAACTACAGGAAGGGTTACAAAGAACATAGAGCCGGATTCTTAGAGGCAAGCATAAAAAGGACAAGAGGCAGTGGTCAAGGGCTGTAACAAAGAATATTCCCACCAGCTCTAATAGAAGAATTCTGACCTGAGAAAAAACAAACCGAACCTTTTTAGTCTATTCTCTTGAGTGCTTTTTACAAAGCAATGCTGTTTACCTGAAGCTCCTCTGTAAAATGGTCACTGCTTGGGGTAGTTTCTTCAGCCTTTTTCTTGTCTGAAATCCTCTCCATGCAGCCTGGATTATACAAGCTGCTTGATGCAGTCTCTGAAATTTATAAAAATAGTTAATACAGTATTTCCTTTGCATATAAAAACACACTAGTACGGCTTGCCTATTTGGATCAACCTCAATGTTTGGCCAAAGAACAGTTTTCCAATGCCCTGAAATGCACAATATTTGTAATGGTGCAGGGCAGTTAAGGTCCTACAGACAATTATCATCACAAGTCTTGTATGAGCCCCAAAGAGAGCTAATCTGATCATCTGGATCAATGCTCTTTTTGATAAACAAATACATTCACAGGACAAATATAAAATATTTGTTAATGTTAATTTGTTAAAATTTAATAGTTAGTGTTAGAAATTTGAACTTAAAAGTGTCTGAAGCACTTGATATTTCAGGTGCTGATTTAATCAAAATACCTACACTGAGGATAGAAAGAGAAAAATGGAGAACTAATAGCAGGAAAATTTTTACATTTGCACTATGATCATCAGTCACAACAAACATGAAAAGAAATTACATTCTTAAATGTTATTTTTTCAGGGGAAAACAACGCAACACACAAAGCAAACACCCTGCTGTGTTTAAGGTGAAAGCAGGTCTCTACAAACATAACTCTGATTTCCTTTGAAGTACTGTCTCTGAAAAACCTGCAAGTAAGATTTTGGTAAGTTCCTAAAACATGCATCCACTCTTTTATTGGGAACACAGCACAGGAGACGTTCTTACCTAATGTTTCCACTACATGACTTTTAATTCTATCTGAATATTCCCAAGACTTCAGAAACCTAAATTTGTAATAACTGACGTGAGATGAGCGGATACAATTGGTTTTGGTTTATAGTTATTAAAACTAAATCACCTTTCCCCCTATGCTTCTGTAAGAATTCATACCACTTTGTGAATCTGGAAAAAAAAAAAGTCAAACTCTCAAGTCACAGTCCTGACAATCCCTTACCTTAATAACTGGACAATTTCCTGAGGTCTTAAAAAATGAAAGACACAAATGAAAGAATATATAGGAAATTTTAAAAATCCATTGATACCATGAAAAAAATAGCACATGCTTTGAAAAGCTTAGACAAAGCAATATAGTAAATGCTTTCTAGTCATATATAAATTACACATAACTAGGATTTCACATAGGAAAGTCTCATTAAAATTCAGCACCTGCATTTCCTTTTTTCCACTGGATTGTTCCAAGTATAGCAAGTCCAAAAGTTGACTGAGATCCCTGTCAAATCCTTTGCCAATCCACTGTTTACTTAAAAGCACTTTCAATCCTAAGAGAGAAGAAGCATGCAATAAAGCTAAGGCAAATTTTTCTTTTGAGGATTTCAAACTAACAATTTTCAAATTAAAAAAAATAAATCTGATTCTTTCTGTAAAGGAAGACTAGATTGAAGATGAACACAATCTCTCATTTTTGGGTTTACATGTTATCAATTAAAAACCGGTGCTCCAATCATCACAGCAAAGTATTCTACAGCGACTGTCATTTTATATCTCAGAGTCACTACCTACTGTGTCTACATAACTGGCAGTTAAATTATCCATGTGCCTTCAATGTCTTAGCCGTAAGTCACTGTGAGGTCCTAAAAGGATGGCAAGCAGTACACAAGTGCCAGGTTTTATGAGCACTGCTTTCATATTTTTATAATAAAACCTGTTTACTTATGACCGGAATTCTTTTATGTCTTAATTGTACAGCATAATCGCACTGCGGGTATATGAGTTTCCAATCCCTCGCACAAATGGCTTTTTCAGTGCACAATAGTTACAAAGCACACGTGTGCTCTCCTCACAACAGACACACTCCCTGTGCTGTGCACAGGACAGTAACAAGTTGTTTTTTCGATCTCTATCAGACAGATCCCAGAGCTTGAGAGTTCTGCAGAGAGTCGGAGGGGAAAGGAAGGAAGATGGGAAGTAGACATGTATTTGGAAAGGCTCCTGAAGAACTTCAGATTCAAACAAGTTCTATCTTCAAATCACTGTCTATAAGCATATTCACATACTGGGCAACTCCAAGAAATAATACATCGTGTGCGTTTATAGGATCACATATGGACCACAAAGTCCTTCATAGCCACAGAAGTGGCACCTCTGTTCTAGCAGGCATGCACCATTTTGGAACAACGATGATGGTTAAACATGTGAGGAGAGACATGGCTGAGACTACAAACGGAGTCAGTCACTGCCTTAAACCTGCCTGAACCCTGAAAAATCACTTAACTACACAAAGCAGTTCCCTCACAGAGGTCCTGTAGGTCTGACACGACCCATTTGCCGGTTTCTGCACAGGCTACATAGCCATGTGCCCCTTCCCTTCACAGCCACTGACAAGCATGCCTCCAAGATCCATGCAGATAAAAAGACCAGGCTCTCCTGCAATCCTGATGTAAAGACCGTGCTGGGCTTGGAGTTGGGAGATTTAGGGTATTTTCTCATTCTAGCACTTTGACATTACTGACAGAATGCTTACGCTGAGGCACCTCATACCAGCAACAGCTCTGAACCACTGTGAAGCCAAGTTACTTCAACGAGATGGCCAGCTGGTGGAAATGCTGGAATGTTTTATTTGTAGCTGCTGTTCTTCAAACCATCCACAAGATTTCAAAGCCTCAGAGAAAGCTAACATAAGGACTCTAACAAAAAGGAAAAGAAAAAAGAGCTTTTTTTTTTTTCCTTAGCGGAAACAGGAAATATATACAGAAGATCAAGAGCCTTTAAACGAATGGGGCACTTTGTCAATTCCAAGCAAAATAAAGTAGCATGACCCCTAAAGCATAGTTATTTGACCGAGACCTGCACCTCTTTAGACAAGCCAGTATTCTACAACTGGGATGGTCAGATCATCGCAGCAGCTTCACAAGAATCCACAACACGCTGCCAGCCTTAGGCATGTCATACCTCGTTTCACACTGCAAGGAAGCCGTCTCTCAATTCTGTAGGTAAAAAAGTGCCAAAGCTACTCATCTGATCCAGGAATCTATCTAGCTGGTGCTGCCTAACAAGTAGTTAACACAACTGTAAAAAGGAGAACTGCGCCTTTTTGTCTGGCAAACCCACTTGTTATTACCCTTTTCTCAAAAGAACAGAGGCTGCACAGAAGTAGTTTTGACCATCAGTAATAACCAGGATATAAAAGACTCGGCAAACATCAAATCCTTTTCCCTAGTCTCCATGGACACGACAGAAGATAAAGGCGTTTCCTGGAGCTCTCTGCTAGGCTAGAGACAGAAACATTGAATGGGATACTAGATTACATAATGAAGAACATAGAGTAAGTTAAATTACATGCACGCTCACTCTCCTCATCTAAAAGCAGCAATACAAAACAATAAACTCATTTCATGAAATCTTGGAAAAAGTTCGTTCTAATCACTTGGACGTCAAAAGACAGCCAGCTCCTTGGTGACAGAACCACAGCTATCAGATAAGCAGACCCGTAACAGCCAGGGTCAGAAGTTGGCACAAGTAAAACTTCCATGCTACTGGACTAGCGAGGCTTGGCACACCAGCAGATATCTGATAAACGGCTCTTACCTGGGCAGTACAGACACCCTGCTAGGAGGGTCTCTTGTCATCCAGCATTCACAGAAAAAAAAAAAAAAAAAAAAAAAAAAAAAGATACAGAACATCGTGTAGAAGGTAGTAAAACCCATCAGGCTGAAGGTGCCAAACTACAGCTAGAAGAGACAAGTTTCCACATGCACAGTCCTCAATACATAGAAGAAAATAAATCTAGGAAACAGAAAGAGGAGCAGCACCTTAAATTACAATAAAAACAAACAGAGAAGGAAAATAAAAGAGCACTGCAGTTTCCCTAGTATCAGATGGCTAATGAACAAGGAGAGCACTGGGTAACCTCCACCTTTGTATTTTTAAGGTGAATGCCAGACCAAGTGGTTGGTTCCATGCATATTTACAAACCTTTATAGCGAGTTGTGAGTAAATTCAGGAGCTGATTGCAAAATTTCGCTATCAACAACAGCAGCTTTGTAGCAGCATTTCCTATGACAGGGTTGGTGGTAGACGAAAGCTTATAAACGAGCTCATCCAAAACAGAGTGAAGAGTCTCTTCATCAACCTGAAGCAAGACAGAACTAGAGAGAAAGAGGAGGATAGAATTGAAATATTAGTTATAAACTGAGCTTTTTAACAGTGACTTCCTATTACAGATGTCAGGTCAAGATTCAGCAAGTCAACACGGCCAGCTAGCTGGACCAGCAATCTGAGCCACAGTGGAAGGAAAAGGAATTGAATAGTTATGTTTGTTCTATGCTGCTTTTTTTTCCTGCAATGAATTGGTATTTCCACATTTATTCCAGTTAAAATGAAAAAACAAGTATTACTGACTCAGTGGCAGAAGCATTCCTACTGTTTCAACTGATTCCCATTCCCTCAGCTTAACAACAGGATAAAGAGAATAGCCAATTTTTCCATTTCTACAGCAAAGACTAGAAAAAAAAACACAAACGCCATACTCCTCGTATATTAAATGTTCTATTTTACAAAGCAGTAATGAATTGAGTTTTATATTTAAACTTCAGAAAAATCAGTGATAATAAAAACAACTAACCTATTGACCCCCAAAATACTGTGTAAAACAGACATCATTATAACTGCTGTTTCAACATCGTCTGTTACTAGCAGCTGCAGGAAGTGATCATTTTGCAGCACTGCAAAAAAACAAAAACAAACAAGAAGTCACGCAATCAGAACCACAGACTTAAAAATACCATTAAACAAATAAACTTTATTATGAAACATAAGCCATAGCAAATAAAACCAAATACTGTTTCTGTAACAAACCATCTTTTATATTTTTTACACGGAAGCTTACTGGAACAAGTAAACTGCTTCAACATCCAAAAAACACGTTGAGTCCTGTTTTTCTGCCTTTGGATATCCCTTAGGCACTGGCACTGCCATGTAATAAAAACTTTAAAAGCTTCTCTGTTACACCAGCACCAGTTTCTTATTACAGCAGCGGAATTATCACTGGGGCAACAATATCCAGAAAAGATAAGGACTTCAACCTTGACAATTGGTTAAACCAGTTTCATTTAATGCACGTCCACTTGAAGCACCATTTTTTTATTCCAGAATACCAGTGACTACATACTCAGTGACTACATACTCAGTAATTTTTCTAGCCATTTGTGTTTTTAGCTACGTATCTTACGATCCTTAAGTTACAATTCTCTGTTAAAAACAAATTCTGTTTTTTATTATTAACTAAAAATCAATGTGCCAACGTTAAGTTGGTTTAACTGAAAGCTTCTTTTGGTCAAAACTGCTACAGAAATTTGTTAGATACTTGTCGAAATTTCTGGCATGACAACAAATCGAGAAATCCATTTTTCAGTTCTACCCATTAGGGCTTGCAATGTAGGTTGGTCAAATTTCTGCATATATTAACCACTGACAGGTAAGAAGAGCAACAGTGTTTTATCAGAAAAAATAAACAAACGAACTTTTAAAGGTACATAATTACAAATGGAAATTGCAGAAGACTTTTAATGTTTGTCTCCAAAAGACTAGAAAAGGAACTCTTTAATATTTCCCTTTACTGGATCTTTTCCAATTTAAATATTGCTGTTTCTGCTGAATGGAATATTTTAAGAGATTGCTTTAACACCTACTCTGAATTGGAAAACTAGATGCAGGTTGGCTTGTGACTGATTCTTGATACCTGCAGATGCTCTAGACAAATACTCAGGTGTTTTATGAGTTTACTTTTGCCCTTACCATGCTTTGTCAGTTGAATATGCCCACCAAACAGCCAGCAGATGGCATCGGTTACTGTTCGGAAACAGCGTAAAAAATCTTGTTTTTCTTCATCCTAAACACAAGAGAAGTAGGTAAAAGCACACATATGCATCCCCATTGAGGACTCCAGCTTGATGCAGTGGGCGGTTTGTATACTTCAGCTATTTGGAGGCCAACTCCATCAACTTCCCAAATGAGGTTGGTCAAACCATAGGAACCAGTCAAAAAAAAAAAACAACAACTTGCATGCAAATCACAAAATGGGAAATACGTTATTTAAGATTAAAACACAGAAACCACAGGTACGAAGTGGACAAGAATATTGTTAAAATGGAAATGGTTCCTATGAACCGTCATGGTGAGGTTTCAGAAGCACCTCATAGTTGGAGAAACATCAGCAAACACTAAACTGAATGTATTCGTGCTTGCTGTGCTAACACTGGACCGGACACAATGACCAGGAAGAATCCAGATTTTGATATGTGAATACACACACACATATACAGAGTCTGGAGACTGTATTCCAGATAAGATCCACAGCCCACTGGAAATCTAAAATCTTGGTGTGTGGACAGCAAAGTGTCTTTTGACAGTACTACACTGCTGATAAACATTATTATAAGGCACTTGGTGTGATAACTCCCATGTTGTTGAGCCTCCACCAGCGAAACTCTGGGAAGTCTATTCCTAGATCTATGCTGGAAGTCCCAGCCATCAGTCATGGTTTAACTCTGTATTTGGTACTTACTGACAATGAGAGATATGAAATAACAGTAATAAGTTAAGGCACAATATTATCTGTTGTGTGTTTTGGCAGAGCACCAGTTTCTAAAAGCTATTTAAGTACTTCCCTTGACTTCAAAAGCTTGTACAGAAAGCAAGTGAGGGCAGAATAAACTGCAAATCTCCACTGGCAGAGTGGGGTTTCCCAAGTTCCAGTGAGCAAGCATCAAGTCTGGCTGCCCAGTCACCTTTGAGACCACAAGTTTTAAAAGCCAAAATACTAGCTATAAAATATGGACTGCATCTGCATTCAAAAGTAATCTTTGCCCACAAGCATGACTCAAGTAGCATGTAGGCTGAGACATAATAAGAAAGTGTGGGGGAAATTACATATTGCAGATAAGACTCAAGTCTCCTGGGATGTCATTCAGGAAGCTTGCTTCTTAAGCACTAAATGCACTTACAAAGTATTGAACAAACAGAAAATACGTCACTCTGCTGATACTTTCTGAGAAGTGATTGTGTATGTGGTGTCCTGAACAAGACTCTGTAGGAAAACTATGAGCAAGTGCAAGAAGTCAGTGAGACAGGAAATGAGATACGAAAGGAAACAGGCATAATAAGAGAAACTATCAGAATCCACGAAATTGGGTATTTATTTTTCCATTTTGGGGGGCTTGTTCCGGAACTCGGAATGTCTCAAAAGCATGAGGGAAAATAGCAGGGCAAAATCCTTCTTTGCAAAGATAGAGAGTAATGCGATAAAGTGTTCACATCCACTAAATCACAAAGCCTGCCTTTAGGGATCCTGACATGCTGGTTCAGAAGCAGTAGGCATTTTTGGATTTTTTTGCCAATTCCACTGAAGAAGTTCTGTTGCAAAACAAACTTCAACATATCTGACTTAAAGTCTTAAGCCTTCCTAAACCATACTTTCTTTTTCCCTAAAGCTGAGTAAAGCAGTGAGAACAAAGCGGTTACAAAGACTGAACTAATTATATGCAAAGTTAAAAGACACTACCATGACTGGGATGCTGCCTTTTGTAAGAAAAAACATCTGGGATCGTATTCTCTACCTTGCTGTTCTATTTCTTCTGTCCCACGCATAGTTGCAATCTCCCAACCCCTTTAAAAAACTCTTACAAGTAGTAACAAACTCTCTAAAAAAACTTATGGTAACAAACTACTTTTGGCACATGTAATGGACTGAACGCTACACAATGACAAATTTCAGTTTCAAAGCTCCAAGGCATAAAGAAAAAGTAATTTCTGCAAAATAAATGTTCATAATACAGCATCCCTAGAATAATATCCTGCTTATACAGCACATGAGCTTGGAAAGCTTACAGAGATTCTCTGCTCTTTTAACTATGAAATGTAAATACCTTGACTGCTCGCATAAATCGTGCTTGCAGGCGTCTTCCCAAAAGCAGCAGGTTGTCTATGGCTGAAGGAAGAAATTTTGTGTAAAATTCCTCGGGATCTTCTTTCACCTCTAGTCCTACACAACAATGACTGAAATGAAAAAAAAAACAAAAACAAAACACAACTGAATACTCAAGGGCCTGTTTGAACAGTTTTGAATGAACGTTATGTCTATAGAGAAGGAATGCTTCACTGCAATGGGACAATTCAGCACTGAACAACAGTTAACTGCTGTGACTAGCTCCAAGGTAGAAGGAAGAGTTATCACTGGCAGGCTGGAGACAGCAAGTGTAATACTGCTTATTAGAGCACGTCTCAGTTTAAAACATATCCAAGGCACTTTCGCCTTTAGCTTCATAGGATCTGTTCAGGCTTGTTCCACATGTTAGGGAAGGGCTCCGATGGTCATAAGGTAAAAAAGCAAAGGCAAACAGAAACGTGATAAGGGAAAACTGATGAAGGCAGTCCAGATCAGGCAACAAAAACACATAAAAAAATATTACTCACTACAAAAAACTGAGTGAGTCTGTCTACAACTTCCCCCTAACTGAGGAATACATGTGGGCTAGAAATCAGTTTTTCAGATCTCAGTTTTCTTGTTTTACTCACCACAGACACATTGGTCATTTCTGGAAGGCTGTTTACAAGAAACTGCAAGTTTTACAACTGGAAAGATTTTCAGTTTTGTGCTCCACTGTGATACAAGTGCAACAAAAGTATTTTCCTAGCTTCTTATGAATTTTGCTTTCTGACATCTTATCTAATCTTTGTTAGCTTTGTGTGAATGCGTGCACGTAAAGCTCTGCTTACCTAAGCCCTGCGGCAGCACAATCTAAGCACAAAGCTGAGATTGAACGAGTTGCAAAAGGACATTTTTACAGCTAAATAAATTTCCGTTTTTTTTTCTGCAAACTGAAGTAGCTAGTAAGAGATTATTTAAGTCTCATGCAATTCTGGTGATAAATCTTGCATCTCTTGGTGAAATTCCTCACATTAAAAATTCACATTGCAGATATGGCATAAATAAAAGATGGTTGCCTAATTGCTTCATGCCTTAGAATTTTGCTTCCTAGTTAAGCCAAAATCCAGTACAACATGGGGAAATTTTAAAATGTATTATTTTTCCTGACATTAAAAATTGAGTTTGGGTCATTGGGGATGGGGGGGTTTACAGTTGTCTTACTTACTAGCTATGAATTAAACTTCATTGTGCCATTCTCACAATATCACTACATCAAGCTCTCTGGTCTGTACGAATTGTGCCCTCTATTATGTTGAAAATGTAAACAGATACTTAAAAATAGATATTTAAATGGAGCCAAGCCAAGCTGTGAGTCAATCAGATTTTTGCAGGATGAAATAAAACTAAATAGATTTTTTTAAAGTAACTGCAATTCAAAATCAGCAATTTCTTGGCAAAAACTGAGACCTGTGTGAGTACTGACCACAGAAAAGGTAAACCCAACACAAAAACCGTTCCCACCAAGCAGTTTACCCAGCTCAACGAAACACAATGAGAATGAATTAAACAGGGCCAATTAGGCTATGCCTGACCCCTCTGCTCTTGACTGCTCCCTGCACTTTAACCCTGGCCTTTCCTGAACAACAAGCCTTGTTCTGGATGGAAGCCAACGCGTTACAGCTTCAAAAGAAAAAGAGCAAGATGAAAGGCCTGCAAGAAAACAAGAAAACTTCTTGGTGATTTTTTTTTTTACCTCAGTATCTCTGCTAGCTGGGCAGCAGTAGCCCAGCCTCCACGCACTCGAGAAAAGTCTTGTCTGAGGACCAGCACGCAGTACTGAGCCAGATCATAATAGTATATGTCCTGCTTAACTTTTTCGGATTCCTTACGTCCCAAAGAAGGGGTATTTAAAATTTCTGTGGGAAGAAAGCACGAGAGGGGCAAAGGGAAGCATTAGATTCCGAGGTGCAATTTGGGTATTTTTTCTTTTTCAAAATATGAAGTAATTTTGAAAGTGCCAAGAACATAAAATATCCCATCGGTTATTTTCTATCCTACAGGTACAACCTGTTCGCTAGACCCCGTGACAGTCGGGAAGGGTGGCTGCATTGGGCTTTCCATTGCCTCCTTACACGCTGGGCAGTAAGACAGGCGTTATCTGGGACACAGCCCATCTGTGCGAATTTCCTAGGCTGGAGAAAACCACAACGGCCGCGGCACGGACGGCTCCCTTATAATTACATCCCGATTTAGCACAGGCCCTGACTTGTCCCGGCCACTTCCACGAGCGGCGGCTGCGTGGCGAGGGGCAGGACGGGCGGGGGGAGCCGTGCCCGAGCTCCCGGCCCCTCCAGCACGGGCCTCGCGAGCCCGCTGAGGCGGCGAGAGGCCCGCCCCGCTGCCACCCCTCAGCGGCGGCAGCGCCGTTACCCTTCAAGGCCAGCAGCAGCGCCGGGACGTCCCGCTCCCTGCTCTCAGCGACCCGGGCGGCTACGGCCAACACCCGGGGATCCGCCGCGGCCATGGGCGGCGGGGGCCGGCCCGCGGCGCGGAGCCCGGGGGCCGCCGAGCGGAGCCGCGGGGTCCCCGTCGGGAGCCGCCAACATGGCGGCGGCGCTCTGAGGGGAGCCGCGTTCCCGCCCAACGCGCCGCGCGGGGTCGCCCCACCTGCGGCGGGTGGGGAGGGGGGGTGAAGGGGGCGTGAGCGCGGCCCCGCCCGCTGTGACCCCTCGGCACCCCCCTCCGCCTCTCCCGCCGCGTGGTCGCGGCCGACGCGCGCCAATCAGATCGAAGGAGGAGGGGGCTCATTTGCATATCCCCGCGCCGGCTGGCAGGGGATAGGCCGGCAGCGAGCCGCGAGGGGGCGTGGCTTAGAGCGAGATGGGGGCGTGGCCAAGGCGCGGAGGGGGCGTGGCCGGGCGGCGGCGAGGCCCCGCCCCCGCGGCGCCGGGGCTGAGCGGCGGTCCCGGAGCGGCTCCGGGTCCGGGTCCCGGTGCCGGTGCCGGTGCCGGGCATGGTGTGAGCGCTGCCCCCCCCCCCGCCATGAACGGCGCGGCCCCGCCGCCGCTGCTGGAGCCCAAGGAGCGGGTGCTGAAGCTGGGCGAGACCTTCGAGAAGCAGCCGCGCTGCGCCTTCCACACCGTCCGCTGTGAGCGCCCCGGGGCTCGGCTCGGCCCCCGCGGTACCGGGGGGGGGTCCGGGGAGGGTCAGTGGGGCTGGGGGGGGGGCGCTGGGTGACAGCGGGGCTCGGGGCGTGGGTCCCGAAACCAGCCCAAAGCGTCGCCCACCCGCTGCGGGAGCTGCCCAGCGCCGTGCCCATCCCCAGGGAGGGGTCTGGGCTGCACAGCCCCAGCTCCCCCAGCCCGACCCCATAGCGGAGGGGCTGCAGCGGGTCCCTGTCCTTCTGGTGCTCAATGCAGGGCTCCGGGGGGGGCTCACGGGAGCAGAGCAGAGGGGGGGGCAGCTCCTTTCAGGAGCTACTTACTGCTTAGCTGGAAGGGAGGGAGGGTTTGTCTCCTGCACTAGAACAGTGCCAGTTCAGCTTTCTGCCCATTAACGCCTAACAGCACTCCCCTCATTTTATCGGGAAGGCAGTAGTCAACGTTTACGCTGAACAGGGAGAGAAACCAGCTTGCCCCGGAGTTCTGCTGACTTGGGGAGTGATCTGTGCAGGGGAATGGCAGATGACACGCTAGCAAAAAAAGGTTTTAGCCTAATAGCCTCCAAGCGCCCTATTGCTCAGGTGTCTGCGTTTATAACACTGCTGAAAAGCCTGCAAAAACCAAGTTGTGTTTTTCTATGTAGATGACTTTAAGCCTGCGTCTATCGATACATCCTGTGAAGGAGACCTGGAGGTTGGCAAGGGGGAACAGGTGACGATAACGTTGCCAAATATCGAGGTGAGTGGGGTGGCTGAGGCATGGCAGGCATAAGGGGAGGGCTGGCTTTGTAATAAATACACGCTGAGTGCAGAAGGAGATGGAGCTTTAATGCTGTTTCACAGCTGACAGTGTAACACTTAAGGGTATAAAAATAATTGCTCTAAAAGAGTGAAGTTGCAGAGGACCTACAGGTTGGGCAGCCGTGCTGTAGCTTTAAGTGTACTCGCTGCATTGGAAAAGTGCTGTAGGATGACCCTGAAGTGTTGCGTACACAGCAGAGCTTCGTGTGGATGTTGGCACTGCAAGTTTCCCCTTGGTATTTACTGCTGTAGTGCAGTTCTAAAGCAGGAAAGACTGGAAAGGGAAAATTTACTACCTGCCGTGCTTTACTGCTCTGCTGATGTGATTACTGAAACCCCTCTTGGTGAAAGGAGCCCTGCAGTGAGCGTGCTCTCCTTTGGAAATAAGTGTGAAAGTGATTAAACGCTCAGCTAAGCCAGGTGAAATCCCTCTCCAGTCAGTCACCAGCTGCTTTTGGCTGGGATGAGTTTAATTTGAATTCACTGATAACGTTTTTAAAAGCAAGCAGTGATTACTTATAATGAACTTGTCATCGCTAATGGATTGCTTTCTGTTTATGATAACAAAAAAAAGACTGCAGCAGTAACACTTGCTGGGCTCTTCTGACTTAACAGGGCTCAACTCCACCAGTGACTGTGTTCAAGGGCTCAAAGAAGCCTTACCTAAAAGAATGTATCTTAATTATCAATCATGACACTGGAGAATGTCGCCTAGAGAAACTCAGCAGCAACATCACTGTGAAAAAAACGAGGTGGGTGATTTACAGGAGAAGCAGCTATCCTTTAATCATTACGAAAATCAGTTTGTTCCTGGGTCTACATTGTGTGATGCTGCAGCCCACGACTGTTTTATCAAAACAGCATTTTTAGAAGGTCCCCAGCCTTGTTCAGCAGGGTAAAAGGCCTCTGCTCAACACACTGACTTTGCAGCTTTTGAGTGCTGACCAGCCGAAGAAATAGGATTTTTTTCTTTGACGAAAAGATGTCTTGTGATTAAGAGGTGGTAACAATTACCTGATGAACATGAGGAGAAAAAAAATCTCTTTGGAAAAGTAGTTTCCCTACTTCCAGTAGTCGGTAGTTAATTGACTGTTTTCAGTAATGGTAGTGGCTTGTTTTTTTCCCCATACGTGTTTGTTGTTTTTTCTCTGCTGCTGAATTCACAGAACTTGCTTTCAGCAAATTACTATGAAGTGTTCCTGGGTAGCTGGGTATTATAACAAATCAACTAACAAAGAGTTTACAAGTTATTGGCACCGTATTTAAAAATAAAATAAAATAAATCTAATTACATGCCAGTAAAATAATATACCTAGAAATCTACTGATGCTATTTAGAAAAGCATGAGACAAATAATTCCGTAACTTAAGGTACAGTATTCCTGCCTTTTTCCTTGCATCTTGTCATCTAGAGTAACTTCATTTTATTTTTGCACACAGAGCTGAAGGAAGCAGCAAGGTCCAGTCTCGTATCGAGCAGCAACAGCAGCAAATGCGACATGCAACCAAGACTCCAAACAACGTTAAAAATTCTCCGCCAAAAGAAAAGATGTTTCTGTCTTCTCCTATGGATGACATTGAACGAGGTAAGCTCCACTGCCACGTTTAGAGATTTTAGAAACTTTGCTCTTAATTAGCAATTAGTTTTTAAGAGCCAAGCTTTGTTTTTTAAAGGTTTGTTCAGAAGCTGACCATATAAGCACTGTACCAGTGTACGGAAGTGACTGCTTTGGCTCAAATGATAACTGAGGAGTATTTGAGACTTAATAAGGTTAAAAATCAGGTGGACTGTTCAGCTAATGGGTTTCACTGCTGTCTTACAGATTTTCTTCTGTTGCTTCTTTAACCGAGCATGTAGTTAGTCATATTGCAGCCCAGAAACCCAAAACCAACCCAGTTGCTTCCCGTTCTGACATCGCTCCTCGTTCTGTGCTCTGTGATCAGCAAACATACAGGCTGTGGTGCTTTACATCTCCAACTGTAAATTACCGGATGGGACTTGTGAAAGATGATGTTCAAGTGGAAAAGACAGCTAAAAGCCTGCATAAATCAACCCTTGAACTGTGCTGTGTATGGCATTCTTGAGACACTGGTTTGGTGAGACACTCATGTTTTGTTTAGGAGCAGGCCTTGTTACTTTGGAGGACAAGGGAAATGGCAGGTGGTAATTACTTGCTAGAGAAATACGACCAGGTGGCAGTTTCATTGATCAGAATTGATGTCTATCTCCCGAGATGCTTTGAATTCCTTTAAGCAGGTTTCTCAGATGTGTCATTATAAAGATTTTTTTCATTTGGGGCTTAAACTCTGGCCAGAAATTTTTATACTACAGAAGGGTACCAGGATGCATCCTGAGTTGCAAAGACAAAGAACCTGAGTGCCTGGGATAAAATGATGCTTTTTCTTGGTGTTTGGTTGTTTTGGGGGGAGTGGGAGTGTTGAATGTTGCAAGGCACCAAAGTGGCTGCCAAAACACATCAAACTCTTTTGTACTGCCAGTCTGATTTTGACTGTTACTAAAGAGTGCAGAGTAACTGAAAAACAGGGCTGATAGGGACCTTTTAAGGTCATCTAGACCATCGTTCTATCTGAAAGTCAGATTTCTAACATTTTTTTTTAATGTGTTCTTTGAGCTCTCTGGTGACAGATCATGTGTTCCCTCTGGCATCTGCTCCAAGGTTTTGTTCTCCTTACAGTTCAGGTTATTCCTAATAAATAAAATCTGACAGTAAGGACATTGTTACTTTAATATTAATCATGCAGGTATAGGCCAGATTGCTCTGCTGCTTTTAAGCAGTGCTTCAGGTTCTCAATAGCTGCTGTCTTTCTGATTCTTTATGCAAAGTGATGCCAGCTGGTTCAGTCTTTCCTTAGAAGCTAAGTTTTCTAGATCCCTGAATCATTGTCACTCTCCTGTCTTCCAACTAGTCCAAAAACTTCAAGTGTAGCGCCCAAAATGAGTTAGTTTTATCTAAGGTTTTAGCAGTGCTGAGTCGAGTAAGATGAATGTTTGACAGGCAGTATGTATTTTCATACGAAAAGACCAAATAGGATCGCGTCCCAGTTTAATGCTTGCCATTTCTGCACCAGCACGATACAGCAGGACTGTGCTCAGCGACCCACTGTAACTCGCAGGCTCTTCAGAAGTGTTGCCTGCTTAATCATGCTTCATCCTGTGGTTGTGTAACTGACTATTCCTGTTTAAGTACACTGCTTTGAACTTGTTACTATCTTCATTTTCTGGGGCGGGGGGAAGGTCATTCTGCATTTGTCCTCCGGTGTACGTATAGCCCTTCTTTCCCTTACTGAAAATATTTAAGTTTTCTGAGAGAATTAAGTTCTTTCAAAATTCCAGGCAAAGATCCCATTCCTCAGTTTTTGGTATTAATTGCTAGTCTTTTGCTTAAAGCTTTTTCCTTTATTACTGGTCACAGGTGAGAGCAGGGAGGAAGAGGCATTAAGTGCATAGGATTTGGGTTACGTTTTGATTAGCTTATGGCCCCAGCTGGGTGGTAGATCAGTCCTCTAGAACTAATTCTGAAGTGACTTCTTGATCTTTGTGCTAGCTGCATCCTAATTTTCACCTTAGCTTTTCTAGCTTGATTTATCAGCTTATGTTCTCTTCTACATCCCTTACTAGCTGCAGGATGCTTCCAACTTTTTACCTCTTTTTTCCTTGTGTTTGAGTCATTTGGCCAATATGGTGCCTTATTGTACTTTCTGTTCTTCCTTGGCATCAGGTTAGTTTTTCCTTGTACTTATAGCCACGCTATTCCAGTTTTCCTGAACGCCTTTTTTCCTTTAGACTGGCCTTTGATAACACAGAATTAGGAGGCTTCATGGAAGTTTGTGTTGAAGTTTATTCTTTTGTTCTCCCTTCTTCACTTGATTAAGTTCTGAACAATCTTTCTTCTCGATCACTTTCATCTTCAACCTGTTCTTCTGTATTGGGGAGATTTGAAGCGAGATGAGGTCCCCTCCTATTTGCTTTTCATGTCTGCTATATCAAAGCTCTTCCTGAAATATTCTGAGTGCTTGTAGGGCTGTCTTAGCAACTGGCTGGGTAGCTACAGTTTTGTATGATGATGAACTTCTGCACTCTGGGTAACTCTTCAAGTTGCTGTATAAAATCTCAATCCAGCAGGGTTCAGATTTCTTCCTTCAGCAGCACCCGTGTTTTGTGTAATTATTGTGTACAGTTTCTGCAAAACTTAACTGTGTGTGTGTGGCACTTCAGCTATTATATATCATTAATGCATACTGTGCAACACAACCTATCCAGTCATGCCATCCTAAATATTAGAGTCAGGTGAGTTTTTTGCCAAGAATGCAATTTGAGTCAGACTGATGTGTTAACTTCCAGTATTTCTTGTCTTTCTCTTGTTCTAGCTTTATTTTTTTCACAAGTCTATAAAGAGAGTAAGGATTTGGTGAAATTTTCCTAATAGCAAACTGTAAATGGCTCCCTTGGATATCCTGTGTGCTTTGCATTTTCAGCAAAATGTCGTAACGTCCACGCGCGTTGGTTGCTCTGCTGAACTGCTGGGAGGCATTTTGGGTGCAGCTCCAGACGTCTTGCTGCTAACTTATCTGTGTGATTGTAACTGCAGTGCTTACTCAGTGAAAGGCATCTTCGGGGTGCTGAGGAAAATACAGAAGACTTGCCAGCTGCAGAAATTAAAGGCTAATGTGGAGTTAGCATTTGGGTGCACAGTTACTCTTGTTCTAATGCTTGGCTTGAAAGGGAGAAAATGCCCAAGCTCTGGGGGAAGACAACCACATGACAGGCTAGATGTTTGCTTGTACCCTTTTCTTTGTTCTGGAGTTTTCTGCAGGGTTTTTGTTCTTGAGTTGCTGTAATGTGTTGACTGACGTACCTGATTTTTGTTGTTGATTTTTGTTACTTTTTTTAATCTTTCTTATACTTCAACTGTGATGCCTGCTAACTGAGAAACAAATTGTATCGTTCACAGAGCTAAAAGCAGAAGCCAGTATCATGGACCAGCTGAGCAGCTCTGACAGTTCATCTGACTCTAAAAGTTCTTCGTCCTCTTCGTCCAGTAGTGAAAACAGTTCCAGTGATTCTGAAGATGAGGAAGCGAAGCCCTCTCTTCCTCTGTCCATGCCGTATTTGCAGCCACAGCCTACTGTGTCTGCCATACCACAACAGGCTGTCCCTGACAAAGATGCCAGTCATAACAGATCCCAAGAGAGCAGTGGTCATATGATGAATACACTACGTAAGTACAAAGGCTGTTCTTTTCTTAGTACACAATTCCAGACATCGAGATGCTGAAAGGAAACCATATTGTTTTTAAGTATGTCTCTGTTATAATTAAAACTGTGGGAAGTGATGCTAGGGTTTGATTGTTCAGCAGAGGTCTGAATTAGGCACTGGACTAGAAGGCTCTTGGTCCCAGGAGATACTAAATTAAAGCTGAGGTAGTTGAAAATATTTCCTAAGCCTTCCTGGCTTCTTCCCAGCTATATACATTGGGACTGCAGAACAGTAATTTTGTAATGAAAATACTTGAGCTAACAGGGCACTCCCAGAACATATGCTTATAATTTCTTGGTTAAAACTACGGGAAAGATACTACGCTGGCAGAACTTGGAATTACAGAAGAGATAGTATATTCTTAGCTACTTTAGTTACTATTATTCATGGCACTGTTCCACCAGACAGCATAGCAGAACGAACTCTCCTCTGTGTGTAAGTGAGGAGATGGTTTGCTTTCAGGTGATGCTATCTTACTCCACCAATTCAACAAACTAAAAATGTGATACGAAGAGGAGCTGCTATGTTGTTCAAGTGGTTGCTGCGCAGCTTGGGACTGGATGCTCAGTGTAGTCCAAAGAGAGGAGAGTCTGGACAGAGAAAGGGGAGTGAGAACAGTAGGTGGGGTCTTAAGTTTGCCACCTAAATCGGAGTGTTCAGATGTAGAAGCTGTGCGTATTCAGCTATGGTGATGCTTTGAAAGTGAGTACATCTTTAATTAGGTGCCTAGCTGCGGGGTCACAACATGAAGAGATTCCCATAAAGCCTGGTGTGCTGTCTAAGAACTTCAGGGTTTATCATTTATATGTAAACTGATTATACTGACATTCTAGACTCTGGCAAGTCTGCTTTCGCTTCAGTGCTTAATAATAGCATGAACAGGTTTGGTGTTTTTTGTAGCTAGTATTTAAATACTCAAATATCTGTGCTGGTTATTTGTGTACTGCATTAACAGATAAGATCAGATGGAAAGGTCTTGTGACTTCATGGGTAAAGAACTAAACACTGTCTTCATTTTACTGTCACTGTGAAGAACAATGTCTTCATGCTCATAATTTGCATAACTTCAGCATGCCATTTATTTCAACCCTTACTACAAATGAGATTTCCCGTTCTTCATGCTTTAAATAAAGCTGTTATGAAAACGAGATTAAGCTCTATCCCCAGTGACAAAATCCCAGCTGACAAAACTTCAACTGAGAAACAAACTCACAAGTACAGGTGGCCAACTCCTCTAGTTTCAACAGTCATAGTGAGAAAATGCTGCATAAAACATGACAACATCAAAGCTATTATGGGGGGAGATGGTGACTTGATGGTGCTTGTGGTGGAACCTTTGTAGCATCGAGCCTTGGGCTTGTCTGTCTTGCACAGATATTTAGCTTAATTCCATTTACTTCTGTCATGGTTACAGATCTATTTACTGCTTAAAAAATCTGTTCCTAACTTGAGTACTTTTAAAACCTACTTCAACTAGACAAAGACCAAAAAAAAAAAACCACTTTCAAGGAGAATGTTTCTCCAGCTCACTTGTTGAGGAAATTTGGCAGGAGAGGGAAAATAACAGCGAAACCTGGGGAATATAAATGAATAGCTCATGGTTCCAGCTTGAATGGCAGGAGTTCTCTGTTGGGGTCCTGTGCAGTCATCTCTTCCATCTCAAATGTTTTACGAAAAATAAAATATTGAAGCAACAAATGTCAGCACAAGCAGTTTGCTTGTCTAATCCTGTTGGAGGTTGGTCTGCTTCTGTGCGTGACTGTTTTTGTGCACCTCTGCAGAACCAGGGCTGTGCTGGGTAATTAGTGAAGTTCTCCTTTGGCTTGCTGCGTGCAGGCAGAAGGCTGCGGGAAGGGTTAGGGAGAAGAGTTTCATCTTACACGTGGAAATCATACAGCTGAGCTTTTGTGGAACTTGGAAGACACAGGAGGTGGTGTCCTAGGGCACGGTAACCAAATACTTCTGTCAGATGTACATCATCTGGATTCTTGAGGAGGTAGGACTCAAAGCTGCCCCTCACCTTCAGCAGCAAGGTCCTCCCCCAAAATCTCGATTCTTCCCTCCTCCTGTCAGAAGCTGATCATTTAAGCTCACAACTTGCCTTAGAACAGTTTGTAAATGGTAGCACTGATGAATCTCTTCTTTGTAGATATTTGATCATATGTTGCTTTGTTGACTTAGTTGAAGTAAAAGCTAAATAAGGCTTTATTTCCCAAGAAAAATCAACACAGACTCTTCTGGGGCAGCGTTTTATGTACACAGCACTCAATACAACTTCACTTCTTTTGATAGTTGGTGCTGGTACAGCAGCTGGTCACGAAACTTGCTTTGTATTTGTGTGGTGTTGGTGTAACAAGATCTGTGAAACACCGATCACTCTTACGCAAGTTACTGGGGACAGGGAAACTCATGAATTCAATTAAATATTTTACAGCCACTGATCTAAAAGTTTAGGAAACATAATTTGCAGTATAATCTATTTCATCAGATTAGGGCAGAGGGGTTGGAATTGGATGATCTATGAAGTCCCTTCCAACCCAAACCATTCTGTGGTAAACTGATATTGCTAATAAGCAGTTGGCACTGTGGAAAAGTGAATTCACATTTTTCCCCCACTTTATTGCTGCCTGCAAAGCACAATTGAGCATAGATGCTTCTTCAGAGCCCTAGTTAAATGAAATTTCTATTCTTGCACCAAACCCACCTGAAAACTCCCAGCTATAGTCTCTGTTGTTTTGCCACCTCTCTGAAGGTGTTTTTTAGGGAGAGGGAAACTTTCTGGCCCATTTTCATAACCCTGAAATATATCCCAATGCATTACTTCTAACTCTGGAACTCGAAGTACTGGCTTTTCCCATCTGCTGGTTTTCACAAGCGCTGGTATTTTTGGCTAGTGTTACACAGTTTGTGTAATTTTTATTAACTATGTTGAAATAACTTTAGAAGGCTGCAGAGTCACTCTTTGGAAGGTTATCTTCTTGTTCTTACTCCAGCCATCTCCCAGAGCAGGTAGTGAATAATAGGGTTGGGAGTTCCAAGAACTCTTTGCTTGTTTTCCTTTGAGTGATAAATGCGTGAGTTTAATTTGCTAATGCCATTATCTGCCTTCAAATATTATTTCTCAGGATAACGTGTTGTCCTGAATCGTTCTTGACCGTATCGTACTTCTTTCAAAAATTTTTAAATATAAAATAATACGGCTGTAAATGTTTTGTTTTTTTTAGGATTGGGGAAAAAAAAAGACTACTGTAGTACTTCATGGATTGCTGGAAAGAGCCATCTTCACTCTTCTTGTCTTATATAAACAGTGTTTTCTGCTTTGTTGCAGAGCTTCATGTACCACTTTCAAAGCTTTAGTGATAACATAGTGGAAAACAAAGGAAGGCTAAATGCAGCCATGTTAAAGACTTCAGTGTTCTGGCAGAAATGAGATGCTTGATAACAAAAGATATGATCTGAATGTCTCGCTGGTTTTACCCTGTTGAGGTTGTTCTTTTATCCATCTGCAAAAATGATCTGTGAAGGGTGCTGTAGCTGAGGAAAGAGCATGTAAAAATACAGTGCCTACTCAGCTTTAGTCATTTTATTTGTTTTTAGGCCACTTCTGTTCAATGAAAGAGATGCATTCTTTTTTTTTTTTTTTGTGGCTGTTTGGCAAGGGAGGGGTGAAGAAAAGCATACTAGCTGGAAGAAATTCTTAAAATATGTGGGAAACTGCTGATACAATGTAGATTCTCTATAGCATGCTGCTGTATTTTTTGCTGTTAATTATCTATGATCCTGAAAAGATTCCTTCACTCCCACCCCACTAAGCTTATGGATAGCCATTGCAAGCACAATGTAGTCTTTCTTCTTGCTTTCCCATTTTGAAATATATATATAGCCTCCAAATTAAAGTGCTGGGTAAAATTGCTTTTGATGTTTTGTTTGTTCGCTTGTTCCAAAACCTGTTTGAAATAGTAGGTCACTGATACATCTTTAAAAGGTACATCAAAGAACTGCTGCTCTTGATTGAGACATCACTTTGTTTTCCAGCACAGCTGAGTGCATTCAGAAGTTTAAAAAAAACACACCTACTTTTTTTTTTTTTTTTTTTTTTGCAAGGCTGCATTCACCAGCAGTGTTACCATTTATGAAACATGAAGATGTGGGTAGCAAGGATAGCTAGGTGTCATCTGTTGTTATCCAGCGGTATTAAATGCTTTTGTGACAAATATGCTAATGTCTTTCCTGCTAAGATTCTAAAATTGTAGAAATGTGGTCTCTCTAAGGCTCTGTCACCGAGGAGTTAGGATCAACACTTATTTATTCTCTCACAGCCTGCCTGGTATTAGTTTTTGTAAGCCTTTAATTGGTAAAGGGGAAAAATCTCGAAAGAAGAAAAGTGTTTCCTTGAAAATGACTAATACGCTGACTCTTTTTTTTTTTTTTTTTTTTTTTTTTTTTTTTTTTAGGAAATGACTTGCAGCTGAGTGAATCTGGAAGCGATAGTGATGACTGAACAAAGTTTTGGCCTTAAACATATCACCTTTTTTGCTAAATATGTCTTAGCATCTGTTTTGCACTAAGATTAGATTACCAGAGACTGGAATGAATGTCCTCGATTTTGATAATAAAGACATCCTAATTTTCTACTGACACATCGTGTCTATAACACAGCAGCATTGATACGTTGTCAGTGCTATGGTTATGTGTTTACCTTTCAAATTACTGTATTTACAGTAAAATTGTGTATGATCTGATTTTGATTATTTTGCCTCAGCCACCTGTTTTACTTGAAACTGATTTGTAACAGCTAGTTACTTTATATAAATAGTTTATGAAATGGAGGAATTTCTGATATTTATGGAGGCAAGTTTCCTTCCTATCATTTAAATGTTGAATGCTGATCTTACAGCTTTAACGTGGAGGGTGTAAAAGGGAGAGCAACTAAATGAGGTCTGCTGTGTCAGCTACACTTTTTGTTCAGTTCACAGTTCATACCTTTAAGGAAACTGCTGAATAATGTGGTCCACTAGTGCAGTTACAGTTTACAATTGTTCAACACATTGCTGAATCCTTAATTTCATTGTATTATAGGACTTTATATTTCTGAGCCTCAAGATTCCTGAGGGAACTTGTCTATTCTCTGCCTTTTTTTAATGTAACTTGAATAGGCCGGTCTTTTTACAACCTTTTTGTATCTAAATTTAGATAACTGTGGAGACAGCAATGATTTTTCTTCATGTAATTCTATAACGGAAATCAGAAATTTTCTTTGTAGAAGTATAAAAGTAATTTAATAAAGCAATATTTATCACTTTGTCTGATTTGTTTTTTTACTGGTTAAGAACTCCACATTCTATTTACATGCCACTGAAAGGGTCAGGCAAAAAAAGTAATAGTAAAATTGGTAGCTAATAAGCACTCCCCACCCAGTGTGCAAGACTTGGGTGTTTATTGCTTTTCCATACATTGGGACAAGTCCAGGTAAGAGCTTCTTGAAAGTTTTGTGATACAAATGTGTAAATGAATGTTTATAGAGGATTATATCCAAATGCAGTTGGTAAGTGATACTGTGCTACAGAAGAGAAGGAGTTTGCTTAGTCTTTTTTTTTTTTTTTTTGCCTGCATTTGAATTTGTGAACCCCAGGTAAGGGTAAAAATTTAATATTGAAGTTCACTGCTGAGCAGTTTCCTAACTAACAATGGGAAATATCTGTGGGATGAATTCTGATGAGATAAATCTGCTCAGTCTTGCTTAGAAGTCTCACTTTCTAGATTGCAGTGACTGAATCACACATCTGTGTCTAATCATGAGGATTGCATTCTACATGTAAGCCTGAATGTGAGGACATGACATGCATATTCAGTGTATACAATAGATGGTACTAGACTTGCTTATTCTCCCAACTGCTGGTAGTACCAGCCCATACTTACTCTACAAAGATTGAAGCCAAATGTCTGCCCCTTACCACAGGGCAGGAATGAAATATTGGAAATGCTGCTTCCTGATCCTTCCCCACCTAGCACTTTCTACTCTCAAACTATGGCACTTGGCCATGGCCTACACCCGGTAACAGCTTTATGGTGTCCCAGCTTCCTAAAGTTGGGATCATAAGAAGCAAAACTGCTTGTACTAAAAGTAAAAAGCTCAACTTAATGACCATGGTTAAGCAGGTCTTTGAGAAGAAAAGGGCTAAGGGGTGACTTCAAGACAGGATGCTATGTAGATAAAGATTCCTCATACTTTTTCAAGACTGAGTTCTCTGATGCATTATAACTGCTGCTGGGGGAACTCTACCAGACTGCTTGGTTCTTGGCACCTGCTGTTAATAAAGTCTGCTCTGTGGCATGAGGACCTCTGAGATGTGTTACAAGTGATCTTAGGAGCAGCCCTGAGTACTAAATAGAGACTCACGCTAAAGCAGTGTCCTGAAGTGAAATGTCATCTTTTCAGCTTCCCCCTGTCCCTGATGGCCTGTATGAAAGCTTTCTTTTAGGCCAATGCTAAAATCTAATGCCAGCCAGAATGCCACTGATTTTTCTGAGCATTTATGCGTTTGAGGTGCATGGAAAGAAGCAGATGTGTGGAAGCACTGACCAGGCTAGGATCCAAATCACAGAGCAAGTGTCTGTATTCATGTATTATAATCACCTCTCCCTCAGAAGAGAGGAGGAAAAAAAAGCCTACAATGATAAAAAACAAACAAACAAAAAACAACCCTGGCAAGTGCAACCTACCTGTATTTGATGCATAATTGAACTCACATGTATACAGGTGCTTAAATATAGCTCTGGGAATAAAGCAGCTTTCCAAGTTCTCGAGACTCAGGGCTGTAAATAAGCCTATGCTATCTTTAGGATTTGGTCTTCAAGCTAGAAGCTTTCTAGGATGGGAAGAGCTTCAGTTAAGCTTTTGTACAGCACTGCAAAGTGATTAGATGCCAGTCAGTCACTACCCAGTCTAAATAAGTATGTGACTTAAATGGGTGTATTTTGTTAAACACACGGTTGTGATAATAATTCAGGAAAGGTTCCCTATAAATATTAGGGCTGGAGATAAGATTCTGGAACAGAGTTCCTATAGAGATAAGGGGAAAAAAGATAACAGACCTTAAATGTGTGAAGAAAAAAGTACTGTATGCTGGATCAAGCCCAAATGCATGTTATCTGACTCCCTTTGTTCACATGTCAGGCAGTCAGGTAACCTAAAGAGGTTGTCTGGTTCTGTCACTATGGAGGGGATTGGCTTGGGTCTCCTTCCTCACCTGCTGTGGGTATTTACTCCCCTGTGGCTTGGTCTGTGAGCTGTCCTGTGCAGTTGGGCTGACTTCTAGAAGTGTGAATAAGGGAGGTATTCTAGCAACAGGAAAACAGATTTTTTTTTTTTTTTCTGATTTGAAAATCCTATTCCTCTCCCTTAAACTCATTTTTATTTCTGTCATGGCAGTTTAACTAGTAATGAATGAGGAGAGATTTAGATTAGTTGTTAGGAGGAAATTCCTCACTCAGAGGGTGGTGAGGCACTGGAACAGGTTGCACAGGGCAGCTGTGGCTGCTCCATCCCTGGAGGTGCCAAAGGCCAGGCTGGATGGGGCTTTGGGCAACCTGGGCTGGTGGGAGGTATCCCTGCCCATGGCAGGGGGTTGGAACTGGGTGGTCTTTAAGGTCCCTTCCAACAGAAACCATTCTGTGTTTCTACAGTTCTGTGACATGTATAAGGTTGCTGGATGGAGAGTAGAGTGAGAGGGTACTGCCCCCAGGTTATGGACACATCTGCATATCATTTACATTCATCAAAAAAAAATATCTTCCAAACACTACTGGAAACTTCAGAATTGTTCAGTCTTGTGACTACTGCAGCATTAAGGACTACTGCCAGCACAGCTCACCTGAGCCTTTATCTCTGCACAGCACCTGATGCATGCCCAATTCTGCCAGGAACTACCTCTTCATGGTTGCAGCATTCAACCCTGGTTAAATCCTGAAATGGTGACAGTGCGTGCTTGCCAGCTGTAACTATCTTGCCCGACAGCTTCCAGTTTTTGTAAGGTCTTTACCCTACTCTTGTTTTCCATGAACCCTGCCTTGGGGCGGAGGGACAAGCTAAGGTGATCTCTTTAGGGCAGCTTTGGCACTGCTGTATTCCATGACTAGCACTGGGATTGCCATTTACTTGTGGTTTTATGTCTATTTGTAATTCACTCTTGAGATCCTTGCCCATAATGCTGTGATGTGCCTTCAGGAAGTTCTAATTTATGAACATCTGTCTCAGTATAATGTCCATGGAGCTGTTTGGTAAGCAATAACCTTACTTCCTGCATAATCTCTGAAAATCATCGTGATATCTAAGCATGGAGTACTGCAGTTGCTCCATCAAAATCCTGAGATCAATATCAGGTAGAGCAGAGCTCACTGTGGAGTTTATTGTCAAGGTGCCTGATATGATCAGCTTTATTACGTGAACCTTTTTTTTTTTTGGTAAATGGGAGGTAATTTTTCAGATTAAAGGACTTCAGTTAGTCACTTCCATGCTGACAGACAGTGAATCATCTTGAGAACACAGCAGCAGTATTTTGAAGAAGAATTATTTGTTAGATCGTTCTTGACTGATTTCTGAGGAACCAAACATGAACAGATCAACTCAGATAACAGTTTGCTCTGGTTCTCAAGATCTTGGGCTCAGAAATTGTTGTATAATTTCTGGCCAACACTTTCGATTTTCTTCAGAATTTTTACACGAAGGTTTCTGAGAACAGCTAAAGAAGAGATTATTGGATCCTTCTTAAACATCAGAGACGAGGATACCTAGGCTGGGCAGAAGTGAAAGCCCAGTGGAGGAAAGAGATGACTTGGCTTGCAATGGTTCCTAGGCTGAATCCTTGTCCACATGTGAAATCCTACTCTCACCACTTTTTGAGATTCATTCAGCTAGCCATGGGAAGGACTGGGGACTGTCTAGCAGGATATGAGGTTCAGACCAGCTTTTTGAAGAGCCTTAATAAGAAGAATGAAGAAGAGAGATGTTTTGAATAAGAGTATTTGCAATTTGTTAAAATATATATTCCTGCTGTTTTGGGGGGAGGTAGAGGAAATGAAATAACAAGGCTGAAATTTACTGAAATTAGGAGAAAAAGTGTGAAATGATGAATTATTTCATAGTCGAGACCTAAAACTAGATAGGGGCAGTCATCCATACCCAAGAGAAATCTGAACTGTGGAGGGAAGGATTGGAAGACCTCCATCTTTCAGCTATGATTCTGCTCAGTTAAATAAATTCATGGTAACAATGTCAACTGTTTGTTAACTGCCCAGCAGTTCCGTCCCACATGATCATGGGGCCCCCTGCATAAGAATAATTCATGATGGCTAGGGGATTTGCAGGCAGGAGCTCTCTGCTTACCAGCTAACTACACACAGGAACGGGCTGAATTGGTGGAAAGCTCTAACAGGATGTTGCTGTGGCCTTTACTTTCCAGCTTGCAAGTTCTGGTGTTGGAGAAAAGCTCCTGAATGGAGGACTCAGAGCTCAGTTTGTGTCAGCAGGAAGATTTATTCAGCTCCTAAGTAGAGATACCAGTTTCATACAGGGGTTTCATAAGAAACCATGCTACGTTTGCTGTAGTGAAGGGTCTGGCCTGCTGGGAACAGCAAAGGCTTGGGCTCTAGTTGTTTCTGTGGTTTTCTGAATCCATAGAAGAAATGAGTGTGTTCTCAGATTTTTCCTTCTCTGAAAAGCAAATCCCTCTGCTGTGGCGAGGAAGGAATGGAGGTTAGAGGCAAAGATGAAGGAGCCTTTCATTCAACAGAGCAGGCTTTGTTGATGTACAACACATACCCGGTGAGCTAGCTGCTGAGACCTCTCCTGACTCGCTTTAAACAGGGGCGCTTGTTACAGAACCTGTTCTCCATCTCTCATCTCCCGTGTGCTGTCCTTTCTGTGCAGCTTGGTTTGTCTCCTGAAAATTCATATCCGGCTTGTTCTCATAAGCGTGCTTACGCATGACAGAGGATTATTTGCTCCCTCTCAGAGATGAGGCCTTCTTCATGCTGTTATTTAAAGAAAAGTGGAGTGTCTTAAAAAGGTAATTAAAGAAGACCCAGCAACAACCCAAACTGTTCTTTAATCTCTTCAGTTTCACTTCCACATGCCGTGTATCTTGTTCTACCAGTTTCAATGCCCTTGCAAAACAGTTGCACAATGATTTCCTCGTAACAACCAGCAGAATTCAGCTTGAGCTCACCTAATTGGCTGTACCTTTTCTAAGATCCTCGATGTATTGAGTTTCCAGTAAACTCTGCAACCCCCTTTTTTTCCTGCACCTTTTCATTGCCACTACTTTTGGAATAAATACACATGGATGTCCTCATGTACAGTTTTCATAGAGAAATACGAGATGATTCAGCCTGAAATGCCAAATTGTCTCTTAACCAATTTCCTTTTTACACCTGATGTGAGGTACATTGACAATTAATGAAAAAGATCTATGCTTTTACCAGGGTTTTGATCCAAATATTTAATGGGAGTGTTAAAAAATCCCTCACAATTCATAAAAGCTCAGGACATTTAAAGGCCAATGTCCGATTGAGATTTCCCTATCAAATTAACAGGTTTTGTGCCAGTTTCAGATTCTGCTGGAATAATGAGAGTAGAGGCAGATGGTTCAAGCCCTGGAGTGCAGCCTGCGACATGGGCACAGCCAGGCTGCTTATCACATTACTTCACAGTAACGCCGACACCTCTGCACAGGGATACACCTAGCCCCGTGGCAAAAAGCTGCTCCAAGGAGTTTCTCATCCCAACAATGGATGGGCACACCAGCAGGAGCACAACGTAATGGGCTACTCAGGGCATTAGGGTCAGAAGAAAGTTTGGAGTCAGCTGTCCTAATTCAGCATCTCTTCTGAAGAGGTTTGTGGGCTCTCCCATCACAGTGTGGAACAACTTCCACTCCTGTTCTGCATGATAACTTTTTTTTTTCTTTTTTTCTTTTTGCCCTGTGCAAAAGTTACCATTGGAAACATGTAGTTAACATTTCGTAATTTTTAAAATATATATAACTAATGTTCATAAAAATAATGCTAGGCAAATGTGACCTGCATGTAGGTGGGGAAAACTCCCTGCAGATTAGCAGCCATGCTTGTGTGGCTCCCATACTTGAGCCACTTTCCCCCTACCAAACACAGCCAGACTTTGCCTAGCTGCCTTCCCCCGGATACGGTATTTGTCAAGGATACTGGTGATCAGTGGCTGTGGCTATGTTTAGCTGAGGATGCAGGACCGTTAGGCTATTTAAGAAGTTCTTGCCACAATGAGTGCATTTTAGAAAGTACCACCTGGAAGGAGTGCGCTGAGCTTAGCGGGGACTTTTTATCCCCGTTAATTTGTAAAACAAAACTACTGCTAAAAGCTTAGAACCCATCCCTGCCTGTGTACTTTCCATTTGACTCCCTCCTGGTGATGAAACAACAGCTACTCACAGGTGAATAATTGAGGTCCCCAAGAGAGAAACTTGTTAACATTTTAATAATGTCTTGCCTATATTTGTAATTCTGTAGAGAGACTGAGACGAGCGAGCCAAAGAAGTCACCACGTTACATCAGAGCCTTTGATCCAAATGACCTCTGTTCTGGAAACCAGAAGTGCTTATGCTGCACAAATCTCTCTAAACCTAACACAAATACGTGTGAGATTGTCTGTGCTACGCTGGGGAGCGATCACGGTCGGGTAACTTCAGCTGCTGTCAGATGGGATCAGCTCCGCAACGGGGGGTTGGCAAACAGCTCCCATCCATCGGATGTGTATGTGGTGCTGGTGGATCGATCCAACGCTTCCTGGGACCTTGCAAGCAACCCCAGGCAGGTGTGTTGGTTGTTGGGAGGGCAGAGATGCCAGACGGCTCCCTGCTGCTGCTGCGGTAGCTTCTGAGCCTCCTGGGTCTTATCAGCAGCTCACACCACGCTGAGCCCTCCTGCCTGCTATAGATGCTCAGCTGCAAGAGGCTGCCTCACAGCTGGGTTTTCTTCAACTTGGTCTTCTTTGACAAGGAGGAGGGGCTGCACAAATGGTGAATTTGTTTTCCAAGCTGAATGAGAACTATAATTTCAAGTGTGCTTGCCTTGGCACCTCTCAGGGCTTTCCAGTTTGCAGGGATAGTGGCAGGGTGCTCGGCAGGGAGGGAAATATTTTGGTCATTCCACAGTAAGGTGATGTGACTTCAAGGCCACAGAGCTGCTCAGCAGCAGGACATCTTGCTGCTGGACCCTACTCAGGTGACACAACCACGCAGTTTAGCACCCTGCCAGCTTGCTGTGCTGCTACAGCCCTCCCAAACTGGCACACATCGCTGCTCCAGTAAGATCAGGACACCATCTCACAGGCACAAGCTCCTAAGGGAGGTGAATGCTGCACGAATCACAGACATTGGCCATGGTCAATACCTTTCATCCTGTGCTCCATCCTCAGCTGTGTGTTGCTCTGGAGTTTCTACGCATACAGTTTCCAAACTCATTGAGGCAAAACCTGAACTGCTCCTGCCATGAAACACCAGCTAACTAAGGAAGCAGCTGCTTCAGGTAGAGCAAGGAGATGCCCCAAAGGAACAATGATTCCTTACTATGGACAGCAGGAGTAGTGTGGGCTTCGCTCCTCTCTTCTCATGGGAGAGAGTATTTAGGATGGTGCTAACTGAATCTGGTACGGGGCAGTGACAATATACTCCTTGCTTTACAGGGACCTCCTTAGCCTGGTCTCATGGTGTAAAGAGCTGAAGTTCCTCCCATCCATCTTCCTGTTGAATCCAGGGAGGAAATCAAAAGCAGGTTTGCCATGCATACAGCTGCTTGACTCCCTCTGACTAGATGAGGTGGAGATGGCTCTCCTGTCCCTCAACCTCAGCAGCAAGGACCACATCGGGTCCCATCTCTGCAAGCTGAAGCATGACTATTCTGTGAGTCAGGCTGGAGACACAAGGCAACATCTGGCTTACTTTGCATGGTGGTATGTGATCGGGGTGCCTCCAGTGAGGTGACAAGAGAAAAAGGGTGCCTGTGTGCCCTCCCTGGTCCCCCCTATCTCCTTGACTTGGCCCAGGGAAGCTCTGTAGCACAGCTTCCTTGCAGACCTGCAGCTGTGGCAGGTAGCACGTCCTAAGATTCTTCCCTATATCTAATCTAAATCTCCCCTCTTAGTTTAAAGCCATTATGCTGTGTTCTACTGCTCTACTCCCTGACAAAGAGTCCTTCCCCCGCTTTCCTGCAGCCCCCTTTAGGTACTGGAAGCCCCTGTAAGCTCTCCCCAGAGCCTTCTGGTCCAGTTCATGCAATAGCATTTTACATCATTGCTGTACCCCTTCTGACAAAAGGGAATAAGGCCCAGTGTTCCTAAACGTGCCACTTTCAAAGCAGAAAGAAGGAGCATCTCTGAAGGGAGCCAAGCCGTGGGAGCCATGCTGGGCAGGCCTTTTCCCTCGGGGACTGGGTTAGTCACACATCCAAGCCCTCAGTCCTGTCAGGGCATAACCAACCCAGCTGCGTGGTCTCCCAGCCTCCAGCACTACCCATCCATGAGGAAAGAAAAAGCATAAAACGCAAACGTTTGAGTCACAAACAAAGGGTGGGTGAGCAGGATTAGGCGAGGCTCTGCTGACTAACCTACCCCAGCAGCAGGCAATTATTGCTCCCATTTTGTCCCGCAGGAAGCGAGCCTGGCTGTGCTGAAGCGCCTGGTGCTGGTGGAAGGGGCTGCAGGAGCAGAAACGTCTCAGCTCTGATCCTCAGCCACTCTGCCCAAATGGCTCCCCAGACCCATGCCTGGCTGGATTTGCAGGGCGTGAGCACAAAATCAGCCCATCTACCATGAAAAGCCAGGCAGGAATATGTTGTTGCTACTGTTGAATCTGACATACATGAGTTGAATCCCTTGAGGCAGAAACAATTTATCTGTGTCCCAAAATGACTCATTAGGAGCTGTTTCAAAACCGTGTCTTTGTATTGAAAAGGCATGTCCTGATGAATTTGGCAAGGGCACAATCTCGTATTACTTTACAGTCTGCTTTGTAAAGCAGTACACAGGGTTAATGATAGTTTAGTATTAATTGCGTATCTCTGGAGATATGCAGAGACACATTTTTCTGACTAGAATCTTGGTCCCTCTTTCAGCATTTCTAATTCTTAAACAAGAAAATGGCTGGAAATCAGAGCGTTGCTTTCTAAAATAGCTTCTTCTGAGGCTTTAAGGATATGATACAATGAAGCATTTAATTGTGAGGCCCTGTATGGATAGCATAAGATTTACTAATTTCCAGCCATAATTCAGCTTCCCCCAGACTAGACTGTGGTGGCTGTTTGTTAGTGAACAGCAGTGCCAAGATAACTCTTCAGAGATGCAGCCTTAAGGCTGGAGGAAATTAGACTGTCAGGACACATTTAGCAGTAAAACAGCTTACCTGTTCAGTCACACTGCCAAACATACACAAATACAGAAGTGTGGCTTCTTATCACAAGCAACATGTGTGAGCAGGGTCCGAGACCCAGCTGCTTTGAATTTCCAAGAATTAGCTGATAATGCATTAGCTCTGTTAAGATAAAACCATGTGCCTGCAAGGCCTGCTGTTAACTCTCTCTCTCTTGTGTATGTGTGCTGAGGTACAGATAGCTCTGAAGAAAGAACATTTGGTGTAGTAGATTCTGGTCTCAACTTCAACAGGATGAACACAACTGCTACACAGCAATTGTTCAGCAAAGGGCAGTTGGTTAGTGTAAGAGAGAAGTAGGCTGATAGTTTTCATTTTTTATTTACAATGGCTTTAAATGCCTCGAGGTAATAATATGGAATGTAAATTCTGACCATCGTTTAAATTAATTGCAAAATTCAAACTCACCTCAACGTGACCAAAATTATGACTTGAATTTACAAATATCCAAGTGGCATTCTTCAGGGCACTGAAAAGGCATTTCCACAAGCACAAGGATGTCTGCAGTCCCCTTTCCTAGCTTATTCCTAATGACTGGTGTGGTTTGGTTGGTCTTCCTACACTTCACTCTTCTAAGGATTGCCAGCAGGGCAGGCCCTCACTGACAAGGCTGCCATCTCTCCCAGCTGTGTTACCACACTCAGCTCTCAGTTCCCTGTACCCTGAGGAACAGGCATTCCTCACTAGTCCTCAGGACAAGCAGGTGTTTTCTTTTTTTTTCTTTTTTAAACTGAAATTAAAAGGCATGTCATCTGGTAAAAATATTTGCATTTCATGTGCTTGCAGGTTTTAAAAAGCCTAAACTTGGCCTCCCACATAGTTCAACCAATTT